TTTGGGAAATGATCCTCTCCCTAGGCCTCAGTTTCCTTATTTGTATAATGGAGCAGAAAATACCACACTGAGGGGGTGAATGAAATAACCTAGGACAAGTACTGTGGGTGAAGCACCTTGTAAACTCCAGAGCGCTGTGGAAATGCAAGTATTTATTGAACCTTTGCGTGAATGCCTCCAAGGACAAGGTGTTCATCACCCCCTGAGGCAGCAAGTCCTGCTGTTATGCAGCGCTGAGCTGGATGCTGGGGAGTGTTCTCTTATAGTTCTGCTGTGGACGCACACGGAAAAACATGTTTCTCTACTAGTTCCACATGATAGAATGAAATAGAGTCACAGATCCCGCTCCCGTCCGCTGCTTGTCCCCCTTATGAACACACACAAGCATGTGCACACGCAGGACTTAAAGTGTAGTGCTTGCACATTCACATTCTCACAGGCCTCTTACTACTAAAGTAGCTTCTGTTTACTTACTACCAGCCAGGGCTAAGTGCTTTACCTACCTACAGATCTCACTGATCCCCACAGCAATCCTATAAGGTAGACAATGATCTCCTCCTTACAAGACAAAAAAAAAAAAAAAAAAAAAAAATGGTGAGAGAGCCTTGGAAAGTTAAGCTAGTAGGCCACAGAATGAGAGTGCAAACCAGTGGCCTGTAGCATGGTTGCACGGGTAGGCACTTGTGTGGACAGTGTGGACAGTGCACACCTTTATGAGTGTACGACCTCCCTCCTGGCACAGGGATTGGAAGGCAAGGTTGGGGGCTGAGAAGGAGGTTCGGAGCAACCTCTTTCTTCATGTGAAGAGGGACGGTCTTCCCAGGGAAGGTCTCTGCTCTGCCCTTTCTCCTTTTCCTACCTGCTCTCTCCTGCTTCAGAGGCTGGCAGAATCTGACTAAAGGCAAAACAGCGTTGGTGCCTTCAAATAAATAGCTGTTCTCTTCCTCATCCCCATTTCCTCTTGGAGGAAGTTGGCAGGCCCTGGGGCCACAGCAGCATCCACTCTGCTGCAGCCACAAAGAGAGGATGGTAAGGGCAGTGCCTGGGTGCTCCCCTCCTCAGAAACCTCCTTCTGGGGGCAGTCAGACAGATCTGTGGCTCTGCCATTGACCACCTCTGTGCTCTGGAAAAGTGACTGTCCAGCAGCTCAGCCCCAATGTCTTCATCCGAGAATGAGCTTATTCCGTGCACCCAGTGACTGGGAAGTGCCAAGCACACAGTAGTCCTCCCTGAGCAATAGGTATTCCTGCACCCAAGGCCTTCCGCTCTCTGGCATCGTGGACCCTACCCTTTGCTTAAGCTCTGCCCAGGGACACCCTGAAGCCCTACAAAGGCCCTACCTCCTATAAGAAATCCCTGCTCGGCTCGAGGGCAATCTGACACAGGCAGATCAGGCAGCTCCTGGCTTCCATGGGATCTGACCTTCTTCTGGTCTGATGGTTTGTATCTTGTCTAATCCCCATTTCATAGTTAAAAGCTATTTTTATTTTTTTCTCATCCATGTAGAAAGTTTATTTTATTGTACGTTAAGTTCTGGGGTACATGTGCAGATCTTGCAGGACCGTGGCATAGGTGCACACATGCCATGGTGGTTTGCTGTCTCCATTCCCCCCACCACATCACCTACATCAGGCATTTCTCCCGGTGTTGTGTTAAAAGCTCTTCAACCTCGTCATTTCCTTTCAGTCTTATCAACCTGGCAGCGAGGGAGTTATTCTCCCATTTCATAGAAGAGGAAATTGAGGCCCATGAGGGTGAAGTCACTTTCACAGAGCTGGCAAGGGAGCAGTGGGACTGACTCCACAGCCCCTGTGTTTCCATCACAGTGCCCACCACACAGTAGGAGTTCTACACATGCCGCCTTCCAGGTGCTGCCTGGCTTTCTGGAAGGGATCCCAAGTGGTTTGGTGAGAAGTAGCTTTGGAATTCAAGCCCTGGCTGATGCCTCTTGCTGGCTGAGTGGCGTTGTACAAGTCACCTGACCTCTTTGACTTCTTTCTTGGGCAATAAAATGGAGATCATACCTCTTCAGGGCAAAAATTACAAACAAATTAATTTCCCATCCGTAGCTCCTTCCCACGAATCACCAAAGAGGAGGCCTGTCTTGCCTGCAGCTTCTCCCACGTCCTCTGCTTCCCCGGTGCCCAACGGTTGCTGTTTCCTAATGCAAAAGAGGAAAACGAATGCTACAGAACACTCCCCAGAGGAGAGGAGGGCGGAGCTGGGCAGGGCCGGAGAAGAGCAGGCAGTGTTGGGGGGATGCGGGAGGCACAGGCCCCGTAGGGTGTCAATGCGTGTCACTTTCATCTGCTCATTTGGACCCCTTCAGGATTACAAAAACAAAAGCAGATAACTTGAGTTATTTAAAACGTTCTTTTGGTGGCTGGATTGAGGTTCTTTGACTGGCGCTATGGCCCTGAGACTGAACCACCTGGGTTTTGTGCTCATAGGAGTTACTCTTTCTTTCTTTCTGTCTGTCTTTTTTTTTTTTTTTTTTGAGACAGAGTTTTACTCTTGTTACCCAGGCTGGAGTGCAATGGCACAATCTAAGCTCACTGCAACCTCCGCCTCCTGGGTTCACGCAATTCTCCTGCCTCAGCCTTCTCAGTAGGTGAGATTACAGGCATGAGTCACTACGCCCAGCTAATTTTGAATTTTTTTAGAGACAGGGTTTCTCCATGTTCATCAGGCTGGTCTCAAAATCCCGACCTTAGGTGATCCGTCCACCTTGGCCTTCCGTAGTGCTGGGATTACAGGTGTGAGCCACCGCGCCCGGCTGGGAGTTACTCTTTCTTACCTGGTAGTGGTAAAGGTAGGAGATATCTGTGCTCAGTGGTTAGCAGGGTGCTTGACACAGATGGACTCTCAGCGAATGGCAGCATTGTTCCTCTTGTGTCCTGTTTGTATTGTATTGTACAGGATTGTATCCTGTTGGGTTTTCTTGTACCTTGGGGCTATGGTGCAGAGAGAACCAGTGTTTCAGGAGATCTCGGCCTTCACTGGTCTACTTGCCCATTTCTCCCACTGTTCACCCTTTGTTCATCTGTGTCTCACATATGTTGTGCTCCTATGAAGTCAGGCACTGTCCCTTCTCTGGGAGGGACAGTAGAACCCTTTTCTACCCTTGGGGAGCCTGTCTGCTGAGGATAATGTTCAAACACCCTCTGTGGAGGGCTGCTGCGTTGGGAAGGGATGAGACTTGTTTCGTGAGGCCACCAGGAGTGGCAGTACCGAGCCCTGTGAGTAGAAGTTGGAGGAACCCCCCAGGCTTAACGTGAGGGAGATTTTGCTGGTAGAGCTGTCCACAGGTGAGATGTTCTGGCTGGGGATGTGATGGGTTCTTCATCAGGTGGTGTACATGGGAAGGCCAGACCGCCCTTGCTGATTGCAGAAGGAATTCACAATTTGGGTGGAAGTGTGGAATAGGTGGTGTTGAAGGTCTCTTTGAGTCCTGAGATTGTGTGATTTTTAGAGACACTAAAACCAAGAATGGGCCAGGCGTGGTGGCTCACACCTGTAATTCCCAGCACTTTGAGAGGTCGACGTGGGCGGATCACAAGGTCAGGAGATCGAGACCATCCTGGCTAACACGGTGAAACTCCATCTCTACTAAAAATACAAAAAATTAGCCAGGCATGGTGGAACACACCTGTAGTCCCAGCCACTCGGGAGACTGAGGCGGAGAATCACTTGAACCTGGGAGGCAGAGGTTGCAGTGGGCCAAGATCAAGCCACTGCACTCCAGCCTGGGTGACAGTGAGACTCTGTCTAAAACAAAACAAAAAACAAGCATGGATCACCTCCAGGGTAATCCTTCTAGCTGGCATCTGTTCCTCCTTTGGCCTAGAATGCTGTTGTCATTGCCCAGAAGAGGACATGGATTCTGGGAGGAAGGACAGAGTCCCGACTCAGCGTTCATGCTCAGCCTGATTCTCCCACAGATGCCCTCCTCTCTGAGCTCACCAGAGGCTCCCTTTGCCTTTGCCTGTGTAGGAATCCAATATGTAGGGGAAGAGGAGGTGACATGGTACATGGGGTGGATGGGTGGGTCGGTGGGAAGATGCTCTGGACCTGAGCTATCGGGAGAATTTCTATGGGGAGCCAAGTTCCCCATTATCTCCTGCATAAATTAAGATGATGTTAGATGTTGTAAAAATAAACTCCAAAATATCAGTGCTTCATACAGGTTTATTTCTTGCTTACATAAAGTCCAGTTGGCATTGGAGGGGATAGAGGGGCCTCTGCTCTACATAGATGTATAAGGCAGGCTGATAGAGGATCTGTCATCTTCAATAAATGGCTTCCAAGTTTACCTTGGGTGTTGACTTCCAGTTGGAGAGAGCAGACGGTGGCCAGAGAAGTTTTTATGAGCTGGGCCTGAAAGTAGCATGTATCACTTACACCACATTCCACTGGTTAGAGCTCAGTCTCATGGCCTTCTCTGGGAATCAGGGGCCTGGAACTGTTGTTACAGGATGGGCAGTGACTTCCCAGCAACAACCGTGCACTGTGGAGGGGATCATGAGGCTTTGGCAGATAGCTAAGCATCCCTGCTGCTCCCTGATGCAGGCTTCCCTCCTCCCACCTCCGTCAGGTTGCACACACTCCAGGGAGTGAGCCTTTGAGTGCAGGAAGAGACCCAGAGGGCCTTTGCATCTCCAGTGCCCGGCTCAGTGTCAGATCATTGGAAGTGCTTCGGGGTATCTGGTGAATGAACAAATGCTTGGGTGTCATTTTGCTTTTTAAAAATACAGACGCAGCCAGGCATGTTGGGTCATGCCTGTAATCCCAGCACTTTGGGAGGCTGAGGCGGGCGGATCACGAGGTTAGGAGTTTGAGACCAGCCTGGCCAACATGGTGAAACTCCTTCTCTACCAAAAATACAAAAAAATTAGCTGAGCGTAGTGACGCATGCCTGTTATCCTAGCTACTTGGGAGGCTGAGGCAGGAGAATCGCTGAACTTGGGAGGCAGAGGTTGCAGTGAGCTGAGATCAGGCCACTGCACTCTAGCCTGGGCAGCAAAGCAAGACTCCATCTAGAAAACAAACAAACAAACAAAAAAACAGATGCATGGTGAAAAACAGTTTGTTGGTTCCTCAAAACGTAAGACATAGAATAAGCATGTGATTCGGCAATTTCAGTCCTGGGTATAGTCCCAAAAGAATTGAAAGGAGGAGCTCAAACAGATCCTTGTATACCCATGTTCATAGCAGCATTATTCACAATAGCTGAAAGGTAGAAGCATCCCAAGTGTCCACCAGGAGATGAATGGAGAAGCAAAATGTGGTAAATAATGAAATATCCTCAAGCAGGAATGGAATTCTGACACATGCTACAACATGGATGGAACTTGGACATGATGCTAAGTGAAATAAGCCCGAATCCAAAGGACACATATTGTATGATTCCACTTATCTGAGGTACCCAGCATGGGCAGATTTATAGAGACAGAAAGTAGAATGGTGGTTGCCAGGTGCAGAGAAAGGAAAATGGGGAGTTACTGATTAATGGGTACAAAGCTTCTTTTTGGAATGATGAGAAAGTTCTGGAAATGGATAGTGGTGATTGTACAACAAGGTAAATGTACTTAATGCTGCTGAATTGTATATTTTAAAATGGTTACAATGGTGAATTTTGTGTTATGTATCTTTTACCACCATAAAAATAAAAATGTTGGTCAGGTGCGGTGGCTCATGCCTGTAATCCCTGCACTTTGGGAGGCCGAGATGGTGATTGCTTGAGCTCAGGAGTTCAAAACCAGCCCGGGCAACATGGTGAAACCCCATCTCTACTAAAAATACAAAAACTAGCCAGGTGTGGTGGCAAGTGCCAATAGTTCCAGTTGCTTTGGAGGCTGAGGCGGGAGGATCACCTGAGTCAGGGAGGTTGAGGCTGCAGTGAGCTGTGATACTATCACTGCACTCCAGCCTGGGCTATAGGGTAAGACCCTGTCTCAAAAAAAACAAAATTGCCTAGGCCACACACCAACAAATTCCTATTCCGTCAGGATTGGCGAGAGCTGGGCTTCTGTGTTGTTGAACGAGCTCCTCAGGTGGATCTGATGTGCACCTAAGTTTAAGACCCACTAGTCTAGCTCTGGTTGTTGGAATAGGGGAACAAGGGGTGATGTCTCTGAAGGCCTTCTTGAGGAGTGCTTCTCAAACTTTGATGTGCATATGAGTCCCCTGAGGATTTTGCTGAAGTACAGAGTCTGATTCAGTGGTCCGATTCCCAGGGTGAGGCCTGATTTTTTGCATTTGTAACAAGCTCCTAGGTATGGTGATGCTGGTGCCACTGGCCTGTGAACCACACGTGGAGTATTAAGCCTTTTGAGGGCAGATTGTCATCTTGTCCATGGTAGATAAAGTGGAGGTCTGGAAAGGAGCAAGTGAATGTGTAAGATGACTGCTCCAGATTTAGAGTTCAATGAGGATGAGCTGGGGATGAATGAGAAGGAGCAGGAGTTCCACTGATTTGTGAATTAGCTTCTGGGTGTGGATCAAACAGGCAGGCTTGTGGTTTAGCTAAAAAACATATCAAGGGCCTGGCTTGGTGGCTTATACCTGTAATTCCAGTGCTTTGGGAGGCTGAGGCGGGAGGATTGCTTGAGTCCAGGAGTTCGAGACCAGCCTGGGAAACATAGTGAAATCCTCTCTCTACAAAAAAAAAAAAAGGTACAAAAGTTAGCTGACTATGATGGCATGTGCCTGTAGTCCCTGCTACTTGAGGGGCTGAGGCAGGAGGATCACGTGAGCCAGGGATATCAAGGCTGCAGTGAGTCATCGTCACACCACTGCCCCCCAGCCTGGGTGACAGAGTGAGATGCTGTCTCAAAAAAAAAACAAAAAACAAACCCAAATCCCCCCAAATTTGCAAAACTTACTGAAGTTAGAGATTATTAGCAAATAGAATCGTGTGGATTTTGCTCAAGTCTGTCTGAATTTCTAGACTTCGTGCTTTATAATAAGGGGCCTAGTCCAGTGGAATAAAAGCTAAACTGGCCCATGTCTTACTTTTCTGTTGCTTTTCCAAATCCTTCTCATCTGACATAGTCTAGCTCAGGTCCCAGGCCTCCAACGGGTCCTCAGAGCTGAATTCCACTTTTTCTACCACTGCCCTCACCAGGGTAAAGTACTGCATAGCTCTTGAGCCATCCTGTATGGCATATTGGGTCACCTGCCTGAACTTTTCTTTTTTTTTGAGACAGAGTTTTGCTCTGCCTCCCAGGTTCAAGTGATTCTTCTGCCTCAGCCTCCTGAGTAGCTGGGATTACAGGCACGCGCCACCATGCCTGGCTAATTTTGTATATTTAGTAGAGATGGGGTTTCACCATGTTGGTCAGGTTGGTCTTTAACTCCCGACCTCAGATGATCCACCCTCCTTGGCCTCCCAAAGTGCTGGAATTACAGGCATGAGTCACCGTGCCGGGCCCTGAACTGTTTACTGATAGTTTCACATCAACTGTTTTTCTGCCAGTACGTCCAGCTTGCTCCCTAGACCTGGCAGACTCTTTCCTTGGCAACATCCTCAGGGAAGAACTGAAACTGTCTTTGAACAGTGGAACAGCAGGTAATATGGCTCAGTAGTTAAGGAATTGGACACTCATGAGTTTAAATCTCATTCCCATCTCTTCTTGCTACTCTAACCTCAGATAGTTACTGAAATGAAAAACCCAGCCTTCTCACCTGTCAAGTGGACATCGTGATACCTTTCTCTCAAATATACAATGGGGTCACAAGAGCCAATCAGTGCGAGGCATGTGTTTTGCTCAGCACATGTTTTGCTCAGCACCTGGCGCGTAGTATCGGGATCCGTAATGTGTTTTCACGACAGCGTTCCCCTTCGCAGCCCTTGGGCTGGCTCCATCTTCTGCGCTCTTAGCTTCTGAGGAGTTGTTCATTCCTTCCTGCAGGCTGGAGCTGGCTCTGATTCGTGTTTGTGTGCCCAGCGACTGGTGTGCAGGGAAGGTGGGGTTGGGAGGCATTCTATGCAGACCGTTCAGGTTTGATTGTCGTGCTTGCAGTTCTGGAGGTGACCTGCAGATGGCGTGCGGATCCTTGGGAGGCGTCCCGTCCTCCCAGAGATGGAACGAAGCTGGGCTGTCACCAGGTGCCTGGAATGCAGAGTTCTGGTTTTCACTGATGCTGTTAGCTGCTTCTCCAGGCTGGGTCCTGGGTGTGGGGGCTGAGATAAGCATTTCTTCATAAGCCTAGGAATACCAAGGCATACAGAATCTCTGCCCCTCCCCTCTCACGGTGCCGACCCGGGGATCTAATTATTCATAGGAGGGACTCCTCTGCACCCCCCACACTCTAGGTGCTCAGAGAGTGTTTGTGGGATGAGTTGCTATTCGGAAGATGCTTCTATGAAAGGTCAGGCATTCCAGGTGGGGCCTGACTGGGCCCAGGCTGATAGGTGCTGCCCGCATGCACAAGCTCCTGGCTCCGTCTCCAGCCCTTCCCAGTTCCTCCTCTCAGCTACTGAGGAGCGGCGGGTCCCAGACTCACTTTTCAGATTCCTGATCCACACTCAGCCTCAATTGCAGTGCTCAACTCAGGAGCCCCCGCACACTGCTTAGGTGCACTTCCTTTTCACCCCAGGGCCAGTCACTGCTTCTGCCTCTCCAAACCTTGGAGTCCCTGGAGGTCTATCTCACCTGCCACCTGCTGTGATGCCCTCTGGACCCTCTCATCAGAAGCTGGGCCTCTGCACACCCATGGCATTTTACCTGCTCCTCCTTGGGGACACCTTTTCTTTTGCTTGGCAATCAGCTAGTTGCTGACTCCTCGGACGCCAGGTGAGGCACCTGGTGTGCTGACCTGGTTCTCTTTGGCTGAGCTCCATTCCCTCTCCTCCATGAGCTTCTCTTACCCCTCTGACCTCCCATGACTTGTCTCCTCCCTCTGACCTCACCTGGCCCTAACAGTCCAGAATGTTAGGTCCTGGCCTGGTACCCCAGCTATAATTTCTTCTTCCCCACTCCCAATACATAGGCACTTTGCCCACAACTGTTGGCTAGCGGTTTTGGATAGTCCAGGCCCCCCGGGCTACTCTGCACTCTCTTGGAGGATAGAAGCCAGTAGGCAGCCTCTCTGCTATCCCAGGCTCCCCAGCGCTTGGTGAGCCAAGGTTGCCCCATTCCATCTGTTACAAGCTTCCCTCCGTTTACAGGGAAGGACACTGTGGCTCAGAGGGGTTTAGGAGTTTGCACGAAGCCACCATGCTGGTTCCCCTTGAGGGCCCAGTTCAGCCCTGAGAACAGAAGAGGAGGCACCTCAGCTAATTGCAAGCCTTTAAAAATCTTAAAGCCCTGAGCCAAAGCTTGGGCTTCTCACAAAGTTTTTCGATGAGTGACAGACAGCCTGGGACAGGGGACAGGGGTCTCTCCTACCTCCCCACTGGCCCTTGCCAGATGGGAAAAAAGCCACCACATAGAAACATAACCTTTATTGCACACGGCGCTGGGTCTTTTTTCATAGAAAAAGGTATGAACACATAAGCATCTGCAAATGGAAGCAACTCCTGGTTTTCTTGGAACAGTAAAATCGCATGCAGTGTCTCTGAGCTGGGATTTTGGTCTTTGTCAAAACCACCTAGTTTGAGGGGGAGGGTGAGGAGGAGGGAAAAAAAATTGCTGAGTCTTTGTGCCTCTGTTTCAAAATAGGGTGAGAGAAATATATAGATATATAGCTTGCCGACGTGTTCCTATCTGTCTATATATGTATATATATCTCCACACATATTTTGTGGGGTGGGGGATTTGACTTGTACTGTCAAATTCTTTGTGCCCTGGCTTCATGGAGAAGAAGAAGAAAATAGTTTCATTTGTACAAAAGAGTTCTATGTACAGGCGTTCATGATTGGGGGTTTGTGTTTTGTCGTTGGTTGGTTTTTGTCTGTCAGTTGAATATAAATAATGCAGAAAAACAGCCGAGCTGGTGTGTGGGGCTGCGGCGCGCGGTCCAGGCGTGGGCTGCTCTTCCTGCTGGCCCTACACCAGGGTGTAGGATTTGGAGTAGGCCCCGGCCCCCTGCTTCTGAGACCTCCCTACCCCCGACGTGCTCATCTCGAGAAGCGAGTCTCTGGAGCCCCCCATTTTGGTGTGTGGGCCCCCGCCTCGTGGAGGCTCGGTGCTGGGGGCTGGAGGGGCAGTGCTGGGGGCGGTGGGGGGCTCAGCAGGGGTGGGGCCGGGGGCTGGGGGGGCTGTGCCGGCTGGGGGTGCTGGCATGGCCAGAGTCCTCTGAGGTAAGGTGGCTGTGGAGGCGGCAGCGGGGGCCCCTGGGTGCGGGAGGCCCAAGGGCTTGCTGGCAGGGTCCAGGGTCAGGTGGCGAGCCTGGGTGTGGTAGGTTCGGCCCAGGTTCCGGATGGAGGCCTCTCGGGGTGGGACCACAGGGCAGGGCTCACGTCCATCTGCCTTTCGAAAGAAGGCCTCCGACTTGGCATACAGCGGCAGGTTACAGTAGTCACCTGGAATCACAGAGGCAGAGGATGTGAGAGGCAGAGGCCTCTGGAAGCAGCTCATTCAATCCCCACCCCATCACCTGCCCCGAATCTTCTCTCTGACCTGGCACAGGGGTCGTGCCACTGGAGGGGCAATAGAGGAGAGGAAAGGTCGGGTACTCCACGTTTCTGAGCCTTCGTTTCCGTATCTGTGAAATGGGGGTGACCTTGTTCCCCACAGGATTGTCATGAGGCACGAATGAGATGCAGTAGGTAAAGTGCTTTGCCACAGTGGCTGGTGCAGGTAATAGTTGCCCAATACATGCACACTTGCTGTTCAGCGTCCCTACAGGCTGCTCAGCTTCTGCTAGTGGAGAGCTCACTGCTAAGCACAAGGACGTCCTAACAGCTCGGGCTGGTGGAAAGCTTTTCTTTACCCTGAGGAGGAAATGGATATCATTTCCTGTTGCCTCCTCACCATGGAGCCTGGTTCTGTCCTCTGAGTTCTCACAGAGAAAGGCCTCCCCCACTTTTTCATGGCAGCCTTCTAGATGTTTGAAGTCAACTATGTGTCCTCCTCTCTCCTGCCCTTGGCCCTCTCTTCTCCAGGTAGAAAGTTCCCAATTTCTTTTTTTTTTTTTTTTTTTTGATTTGGAGTCTCTCTCACCCAGGCTGGAGTGCAGTGGCGCAATCTCATCTCACTGCAATCTCCGCCTCCCGGGTTCAAGTGATTCCCCTGCCTCAGCCTCCTGAGTAGCTGGGATTATAGGCATGTGCCACTATGCCCAGCTAATTTTTGTATTTTTAAGTACAGACGGGGTTTTGCCATGTTGGCCAGGCTGGTCTCAAACCCCTGACCTCAGGTGATCTGCCAGCCTTGGCCTCTCAAAGTGCTGAGATTACAGGAGTGAGCCACTGTGCCCAGCTGAGTTCCTAATTTCTTAAACTGCCTCTGTGTGACATGCTTCTAAGACCTCTGCCTCCTGACCCCCGTGCTCTGTGGGGACCCCACCTGTAAATGAGCCTCTTTCCCTGGGGAGCTTGGCCAGGCACTTTCCTCAGATTTTTTTATTGAATCTGGATGACAGCCCCCAGGATGGGTTAATACCTGTCTGTACTTTACAAGTGAGGAAACTAAGGTTCAGAGAGATTAAATCATTTGTCTAAATTTGCACAGCTAGAAGGGATGGGGGTGTCATTCAGGGCCACAGTCTCCAAAGACTCTTCTCTCGATGACCCAGAAAACCCGCCCCCTGCCTCAGTTGGCATGGCCAGTGCTAAGCAGACCAGACCGCATGGTTTGACAGTCTGGGCTTTGCATGCTGTGACCCCAGCATCTGCTGATGGACTCCCCCTGGCGATCTTAGCCCTGCCCTGCCAGCCTCTAAGGACATATGCTCTGGCCAGGCTGCTGGGGTCAGGTAATTCCCAGCTAGGCCAGGTCACTGCCTACCAAGAGGTATGACCATGGTGGGCAGAGCTGCCAGGACTGTTCGTTTGGGTCCGGATTAAATTCAAACAGCATTGAGACCAGAGGGCAACTGATCCCGAAGGGATCTGTTTACGTCCTGGCACAGCTTCAGATTAGGGAGATGATCACTACTTAATGAATGAACCCTATGACAAGCTGGCCGTGTATATAATTTCTAATGCCCATTATGACAACGCAAAGTTGATACTATCATTGGCATCTTACAAATGAGAAGCTTAAGGCCACAGACATATGAAGAGGTTGAACCAGGATGTGGGCCCCGATCTGCCTGCTCCCAAGTCCTTGCTGTTGGTACCACCCTGCACTGCCAAGGAGCCAAGCTGGGCTGGCAGGATCCCAGTGCTGGTAGGACTAGATCTAGCCAGGGCTTATGGGGCTGGGGGCTGGGGGCGGGGGGCACAGCCTGGGAGGTGGTCTGAGCACTTACTCTTGTTGGCCCGGTGAGGGATGGGCACAGCCACGTTTTTGCCCCGGTCAGCATCCTGGGGCTTGGGTGGTGAGGCGGTGAAGCGGCAGATGCCAGGCTCTGAGGGTGTGCTCATGGATGTCATGCTGTCGGCGTTCTCATTGGTGCCTGTGGTCATCTGGTCGGAGGAACTGTCAGAGATGAAGCACTCGGTGATCTCAAACTTGGCGTGCTGCAGCTGCTCCTCCAGCTTGGCATGCTCGTAGGCCCGGGCCAGCTCCTCATAAGTGGAAGAGGCACTCTCCGTGGACACCATGCTGTTCCTTCCTTTGTCTGGGAAGTTAAGAGGGAAGGAGTGGGTTATGGGGAGAAGGGTGTAAGTGAGACTGACTGAGCACTTTCCCTGCTGTAACCCCATCAGCCATCTGGAATTCTGGCCATGGAGGGGACCAGGCTGAGAAGATCCTGTGAAGGTGGCAGAAGTAGGATCTTTGGCTCATGAAGGGCAGAACTTTCATTCTTGAAAATAAGAAACCATCTCCTGGAATATTCAGCCCTTTCTCCAATGAACATCATGTGTCCATTTTCGCTGACAATTTTTGGGAAAGCAAAATTAACTCCTTGACCAAGTAGAGCTCAGTGAGGTCAAGTGTTTTTGTTCCAGCCACACAGTGGGTCAGTGACCAGCTAGACATGAAACTGGCTTGTGCCTTGGGTCCCCTGAGCTGGCGGGTAGAAGCTGGGAAGAATAGAAGGTGAAGGTGAATGATGGGGAACTAGGGGGAGGTGTTCAGGATGCCAGCAGGACCCTAGGCACACCTGTGTCCTGGGACAGGCTGGCGCTGTAGCTGTCACTCTCAGTGACAGTGACACCATGCTGGGAGCCCACAGTGCGCCAGTCGGAGGTGAGGGTGCGGGCGGGCGTGGAGGCCTGGCACTTGGTCAGGGTCCACTGGCTTGAGTACCGGTTCCGGGTACTGTGTGCTGACTTCACATTCTTCCTGGACACTGGATCTGCACAGACAGAAGCAAGAAATCGCACCCTCCAACCAAAAGCACCCAGGCTTAGGCAACTGGTACTTACCAGAAAGGGCAGTGGGGTGGAAGGGAAGAGGCAGATGTAGGCACAGAAGCTCCCTTGGGAATGTTGCCTTTCCTAACCACATCGCCGTCCCCAGAGAAGAGCAGCCGAGTCAAGTGTGGGGGCAGTAGAAGGCATTCTCCTCACCCACCCTGGCTTTTCCTTCCCCTGCAGGAGAATGTGATGTCCTCTCCTGCTGCCTCCTGACTTCATTCCCCACAGTCCTTGATGTGTTCTATCCTATGTCCAGATACACATTGCGAGAGATAGAAAAGCCCTTGGAATACCCAATACTCTCAAAATTTCTAGGTAAGGAAACAGGCCCAGAGAGATAAAGCTAGTGATATGCCCAAGATCACAGTTAGTAAATCTGCAATCAAGGCTTCCAGATGCTAATTCCAGTGCTTTCCGTTTTTCCATTCTATCCCATGATGCTCCCTCCTTCCTCTTAGAAAACACCACCTCTGTGTCTTGCTATGCCAGGCCACCCTGGGTGAGAAGAGGGCTGATTCCCTGGGGATAATGCATACTGGTTCCTGGCCGGATGTCAGACATGTCGATGAGGGGTCCTGTGCTCTGGATGAGGGCTGGGTGGTGCAAGGAGACGCCAGTACAGAAGCTCTGTGGGTTGACAGCTTGGCTGAACTCAGCATCTGTCACAGGGATGGTGGCCTTGTCATCTCCTGGGGAAAGAAGGACAATTACCAGGAGTCCTTTACAATTTTTTTTTTAAAGCTCTGTTGGATGTGACTGAATTTCTCTTTGTATTTATCCGATGTGTTTTTGGTTTGTGGATTTGTTTGTTAGTTTTTTTGAGACAGGGTCTCACTCTGTTGCCCAGGCTTAATTGTGATCATAGCTCACTGCAGCCTCAATCTCCCGGGCTCAAGCTATCCTCCTACCTCAGCCTCCTGAGTAGCTGGGACTACAGGTGTGCATCACCATGCCTGGCTAATTTTTTTTTTTTTTTTTTTTTTTTTAGAAATGGGGTCTCACCATGTTGCCCAGGCTGGTCTTGAACTTCTGGTCTCAAGTGGTCCTCCCTCTTTGGCCTCCCAGAGTGCTGGGATAACAGACATAACCCCTCACGCCCAGGCTTTATCCAACATTAAGTCACAGAAAGGCCAGCAATTCCCTCTGTTCAACAGAGGAGGAAATTTAGCCCTTGAATGAAGCCACAGTGAGTTCTAAGGTTGTTGTGGTTGATAGGGCTACTGCTAGAACCCTGGGCACTGCTATGAGGGCTGGTGTTGGACTTCCGTGGGTTGTAGCCTGGGGAAACACACCCAGCAGGACAGGGAGCTCATGGCACCCGTCACTCACCCAGCTGCTTGATGCCCTCTTTGTCCTCAATGAGCAGCTGGACCCTGGGGATGTCAATATGTAGCCGTGGGCCCTGGGGTGGCCCTTTCACAGGGGTGTCAAAGCTTCGATTGTTCTTGCTGTGGGGAGAAAGACTGGAGGTGGGTGGCTCAGCAGCCATAAGGGGTTGGGGGAGGGGGCTTTGCAGGACAGTGGGATCTAAGAAGCCTCTCTCCTATTCTGGGAATTCAGAGGGAGGCTCCTCCATCCTTTGCAGGGGAGAAGGGAGAAGGTAGGAGAAAGGAAGCAGCTTGGTGATACCCACCTTATCAACATTTCTGCCAAACTCTTTGCATCTGCAAAACAGTAGAGGAAGAGGAGGGCTGGGTGAGAATGAAGTTTGAACAGGAGGATAATGGGAGAGGCATGGGAAACAAAGTGGAGAATTCCTTAAAATGGGGCCAGGGCTGGTCTCCTAAGAAGCAGAAGGAGAAATGTAAGGACCTATAAAACAGCCCAAAACATGATGCAGTTTCACTGCCCCCAATTCAGGATTTGGCTCAAGTCTGTTTTCTTTTCCTCAGATTTTATCTAATAGGGAGATTCTTCCCAAAGCACAGGGGGCATAGCAAGTGCCCCGTCTGCTTCATGAATTGACTCTACTTAAACACGACACCATAACAGGCTGAAAATGGATATCAGTGGAGGGTCTCTCCTCGGCTATATCTTGGGGAGAGGCGAGAGTGGAGGATGGAGTAGAGGTGGTCAATGGGAAGCCCCAGATGATTAAACTCTCACATCAACCAAGAGGCTTCACTTCCTCCTCTGGGGCATCTGTCCCCAAAAAGTCCATGGATAGATTTTGGGGCCCCTGCTTTGTCTCAGAGGAGCCTTGAATAGGATCAGAACTCTCAGGTTACAAATTTGGAAGAGAGAAGAATTAAAGAGCCTAGTTAATCCATTAGACACCTGATACCTGAGAATGAGCTGTCAGAACGAATCCCAAGATGGATGGATGAATGAATCCCAGGATGGATGCTGTATGTGTGCATCCAACCATCCAACTGTCTAGCTATCCATTCATCCATCCGTTGATCTATCCATCCATCCATCCATCTAACCATGTGCCATCTATTATCCATTCACCCATCCAACCAATCATTAATTCATCATCCACCTATTCAACCATCCATCTGTCCATCCATCCACCCATTGATTCAACCAGTAAACCATTCAACCATCCACCCATGCATTCAACATCAATTCAATCTTTCTTATATTTATATATTAAACCTTCCATCCAACCACTCCTTTAGCCATTCACCCAATCATCCCACAATTCCAACTATTTTTCCATCCAGCCATCTATCCATCTTGTCATCCATCAATCTATCAAAGTATTCATCCATCCAAGCTCCATTCAATCATCTACCCATCTAGTCAACTCTTCACATAATCATCCATTATCTAGCATTCCACAATTCATCCATTTATCCGTCCATCCACCCATCTATTCATTCAACCTTTTATTCAACCATCCCTACACCCAGTCATCTATTCAGCTATCCAACCATCCTTCCATCTATACATCCTTCCATCCAACCATTTATTCAGTGATCCATTCAACCATCCAACCATATAACCACCTACCCATCCGGTCATTCAACCATCCACCCAATCCATCCATCCATCCATCCATCCATCCATCCATCCAATCATCAACCATCCATGGAACCATCTATTAATCCATTTACCCAATTCCTGAACACGATAGGGAGCATTAGTCATTCTCTCTTCTGTGCTACTATTGTCTCCTGGCTTTTCACATTAGATGATAAATTCTGTAAGAGTATGACTTGGCCCTTCTTTATTGGTCTCTGTAGTCTGACAGTATCTATGATGAAGCAGACTCAATAAAAATTTTCCAAATAAATGAATGTACATTTATGAAGCAACTAGTAGGTTCCAGACACTGTATGAGGCTGTGGGAAAATTGAGGCAAATCAGACCCATTCACAGTAGACTGTGGCATCAGGTAATGGAAAAAGGGGATAATATTCAAAATATTTAACACCTGACATGGTGCAGAAACTGTCCAGTCAGAACTGAGCATGTTCCTAGAGACTACCTGCAGGTCTATTCTTTAGTGGATGGGTCCTAGGAAAGTTGCAGGGATCCTGAGAGAGGGGATGGAGCATCCAGTGTGGAAAGGAGCAACATCTGTTTACCAACCAACATGGAAATGTTTAAATATTTAACAACCAACATGACTTTACCAGTGTACCTCTAAACATTAGTCCCGATTGGGGCAGGCACAAAGTCTTGGGGGCATAGAGGAGGAAGTGGTGAATGAAACCTTCTGAACTAAAGAGGTTTCAGAAAGTTTGAGTGGCCGCTCCTCCTTCAAGGGGACACAGGCACTCTCCATTATCCAGATGGTGCTGTGAGCCAATGAAGTGGAGCCAGTGTGGCCAAGAGCCAACACCCCTTCCTGGAGGGCCCATAGGAAGCTCCCCCACCTCGGAGTCGCTTCAGCCGCTTCTCCTTCCTCTTCTTGCGTACAATGAAGAGCAGTGCCACCCCTAGTGTGGCCAGGATGACGGGGCAGCCAATGGTAAACAGCTTCTTCACATCATCCCCTTCACCTTGAGCAGACTTGATGGGTGGAATGGTGCCTGAACGAGGGCAAAGAGTAGAGTTAGATGTCCCTTATGAGCCAGGTGCTGTGCAGAGCATCTCATGGGTGGGGTAGACTTCTGCCCTCTCTTGTTGCCCTTGGGCTGACCTCTACCTCCTGGCACAGAGCTCTGGCCTTCCCTCTGCTCCCCAAATTCTGGTCCTATCAGGACAGCCATGAACAGTTGTGTGGTTTTTACATTGCATTATATTAACGACTTCCTGGTACTGTTGTAGAATTAGCTTGAAGTATCCTGGAGTTAGTCTCTTGCCTGTTGGAGTTCAGTGCTCACTCCTAGAGAGTGGATCGATGGGCTTAAATTCTCACATCCAGCTGGGGTTGGGGGAAACAAAGGGTGAAGCACAGCAGAGAGAAGTGAGGGTGGTGGACTCTAGGTTCTCTTCCTCAGATGTGGACAAAAACCACTACAAACCCTACATTCTCTCCCTGCCCATCCCTCCTGTGGGCCATATCTGCTAACCTGGGGCTCCTGCAGGGAAGCATGACAAGCTGTCCTGCTGACATAACCCTCTGCCAAGCCCTGATCCTTGCCTATTTCAGAGCTTTGCTTAAATGTCACCTCCTTCATGAAGCCTTCCTTGTTTGAGTCCATCCCCTTCTGATACTGTTTTTATTCGGTTTCCTTAACACATAGGTAGACTTGTGACAATGAGCTTCTATGAATTCAGCCTTGCACGTTCCTTCAGTGGATGTGTGTATGTGTATGTGTGCATGTGTATGTGTATATGTATCCCTAAGTGGCAGACGCCACCTGCTGGCCAAGGCAGTGAGGAACTTGTAGTGTGCCTTAGTAGGCCTTTTCTATGGATCCTGGAGGCTCCATGTTCAAGATGGCGCAGCTAAAAGATGGTGGCCACTCAACTTTTGAAGGACTCCAAGAGAGCAAGAAACAAATCAGTACTGGGTTAAGCCACCAGGTTTTGGTATTTGTGACTGCAGCATACGCTGTCCCCTCCTGGCTAATATTCCATATCAGCAGAAAGTTCTTAGAGGGCAGGACCTCAACCACACTGATACCTCCATCTTTATCTCCCTGAAACAATGCACAGTGACTGAGGACTGCAGCTTCAAAGACTCTCCATCTTTGGTATTACTGACCTATGTGTCTGTCCATCTGTAGTGGCCACTGGTGCATTTGCCCACTTACCTGGCTGCAACCAACCTGCTGTTCCCTCTGCCAGCTCCTTCACCTGCGGGCCTGCATATCCCCCGCCTGCTTTCCTGCCTGTTTTTCTATTAGTCTGTCTCTTTATGTGTCTGCCACTCTGCCCACTTCCTTGGCACCACCCTGCTTCAGCCTCTGTACCATCCCTCCCACCCCTGTGACTCACTGCCGTCGTAGTCCAGGGTGGCGAACTGGGCCGTCTCGTTGCCGCAGCCGGCGCTGTTGCAAGCCCTCATGCGCAGCTCGTACCATGTGGCCTCTCGCAGTTCGGTCAGAAACACCTCCCCGGAGCTGTTGGCGCGGAGGCCCTGCCAGGCCCAGGTCCCCTTGGGCCGGTACTCCAGCACGATGGCTGTGATAGGGCAGCCCCCATTGTTCCAGCCCTGCAGGTTAAGCCGAGCATGCGTGGAGTTGATGTGGGTGAAGAGGTGTTGGTCTCTGCTGAAGGAGGGCTCTGGAGGGCCGGAGGGAGAGAGAAAGGTTAGAGAGACTGGCGGGGAGGCAGGACTGGGCTGGGCCGGAGGATTTCCCTGGGGAGCTGGGATGGCAGTGGCTCCAGGAGAATACATGTTTGTCACAGATGGGGTGGGGAAGCCCCAGGGAGCAGAGGAGGAAGAGGAGGGATGGGAGGAGAGGGAGGAAAGGGCAGGGCCTAGAGAGAGGCCCCAGCAGAGGAGGAAGGGAGATGGGAAGAGGCAGAGGAGTGCCACCCTCGGTCACCTGGTGAGGAAGTGGGACTAGTTTTCCCTAATGGGATCCATCAGGACGCCGTGGTGGTGGAAAGGAGGCCGAGGCTCCTCCCTTCAGTCTCCCTGCATCCCTGGGCCGCTCCTTCCTCACCCAGCCACCTTCCACCCCACACCTGGCCCCTCTATCCACCCTCCCCGGGCCCATCGCTCCTTCCCTGCCCTGGCGGCTCAGCCTCACCCCTCCCGTGGGTCTTGGCCTCGATGATCTCGCTGATGCGCCCAGAGCCCACGCTGTTCTTGGCTGCCAGCTTCACCTTGTACCACGTGCCACACTTGAGGCTATCCAGCTTGAAGGAGCGTTCACTGGAGCTGATGAACAGGTCCTTCCACTCCTCACTGTTGTCCACCGAGTACTGCAGCACGAAGCCTGCGGAGGGTAGGCCTGGTTCAGGTGGGGGCAGGGCAGGGCAGCAGAAGCCCAGCCTCCAGGCAGGGATCAGAGTGAGGTGTTTGCTCATTGGAAGGGGCATATACTCCTCAGATGCAAAATTGGAAGGACCGGCCCAGTCAACTCTCAATATTAAACCAATCAACAAAACGCTGTAAGGGCTTTGGGTCCAGCCGCTGAGTGGGTTTAACTGCTGTCACTTTGGCTCTAGTGTTAGGGGTTAGTGGCCCAGGTGGAGAGGCAGAGTTGTGAGGCTCACAAGGGGTCCTGTCTGGACCCTCACTACTCCACACGTGGTCCCATGAGCAGCAGCTCAGCAGCACTTGGAGTGCGTTAGAAAGGCAGGTCCTCAGCCCAGCCCAGAGCGCTGAGTCAGAACTGCGTGGTTACAAGGCCCCTTGGTGATGCAGATGCACACTCACGCTTGGGAAGCACTGATCTAGTCCATTTGTCTACTTTGACAGATTGGGAGACCAGAATCAGAGAGGGAAACAGGCTACTCCAGGGTCACACAGTCACGAGTGGCAATGGGGGGCGGGCGTACTAAATCCCAGATGATGGGGCCACTGCAGCTCCCTCGGCCCTTGAGTCACTCCCTTGTGGGTCACTCAGCCCCCAGATCATTTCTGCCATTTGGAGACAAATGGCATAAGTGGGTGAAGCCCTTTCCCCGCCCCGGGCCCAGAATTCCTTCCCCTGTCTCCCCGCCTCATCCAGACCCCTCCTCACCTCGAATGGAGCTGCCCCCATTGTCACCTGGAATCCAGGTCAGGGTGATGGACGAAGCTGAGGTTTTGGAGACAGTGAGGCGGGGCTGGTCCGGGGGAACTGTGAGGGGAAAACCACCACTCCTCAGCACAAGGGTGGACCCCGATGATGGCATATGGGGCCCCCCCATGGCGGGAAGGTGCTGGCTCTCCCACACCCTCACTGTCACTCCCCAGCTCTCCTGCCTCCCCTTCCACGTGCACCTCTCCTCCACCAAAGGTCTCTCTCTCGGTTTATCTTCTTCCATTTGATGACCCTCTCACGTGATGGAATTCCTACCTTTTCTCCATCCCTGTCCCCACCCGGGACCGCCTGCATCACAGAGCCTCACCTTGCACCAGAAGGTTGACAATGATGGTGTCGAAGCCCCCAGTGTTGGTGGCCGTGCAGGTGTAGTAGCCGGAGTCCTCAGCCTTTACTGCACGCAGTAGCAGCGTGCCGTTGGTGTGGATGAGCCGGTGTCCATCCATGGACACTGGGATGGCCGAGTCTTCACTGCCAGGGTGAGCATGGGGCAGGTGGGTCATGGCAAGCACCCACTTGTCCTGAAGCCCTCCCCCCGTGTGTGACAAAGACAGCTGGGCGTGGAAGGAGGCTCGCCAGGGGACTCTGGGTTCTTGGGGCTTTGCTCAGCACTCTCTGGGGGTATCAGGTAACCCGGCCTCTTTGGCCACCCAGGGAAGGGAGGTCCTTGGCTCCTAAGAGGGGAGCTGGGAGGCCAGGCCTGCTTGAGAGAGCAGTAGCAGTATATCCTGCCGGGCCTCCACGGGACCCAGAGGCAACCGGGTCAGCAGGAAGGAGGCCCAGACTCTCCTCCTCACGGCTCTTCTACCACACCCCTGTCTGCGGCCACCCCTTCCCTGCAAGGTCCCGACACACACCTGTCCTTGGTCCACTTCACAGCGGGGGCTGGATCTCCCACCGAATTGCAAGGCAGCCGAACATCTTTCATCCAAGGTGTTGTCACGGTGCCCCCAAAGGAGATGATCTTTGCTGGGGCTACAGGGAGGAGAGGGTGAGGGCCACGCCACTTCTACCCCTGCACAATGTCCTGACCCCCTTCCTCAGGGCCCCCTGGATTTACAGTTGAATTCTCCCTCCCCAATCTGACCACCACCTTGGGCTTTCGGTAAGGGGTGGGTGTCAGAGGCTTTTAGCGGGGGGACACTGACTCAAGAAACACTGATGAAATATCAGCTATGGTCAGGTATTGCATGAGGCTCTGAGGATTCGAAAAGTGACTATGATTTCTTCCCTGTCCTCAAGTGGATCACCATCCAAGAGGGAGACAGATACTTAAGGATAAATTATAACAGGGGCAAAATGCTGTGGTAGGTGCAGGCAGGAGGACGCCCAGCGGCGCGAGGCTGGGGGATGCATGCTGCTCCATACGTGGGCGGTAAAGGTGATGGCCGGAAAACCATCTGGAATTGGAGCTTCTGACTTGAAGGCTAAGAAAGACTTTATAAGCAGGGAAAGAAACGCATGTCAGGAAGAGGGAGCAGCATTGAGCAGAGACATGGAGATCTGAAATTCATGGCAGGTGTGAGGGTTTGCAGGTACTCTTGGGGTAACCAAAGCTTGAATCCAGGGGGACAGGCAGGAATAAAATTTCGGGGGCTTTTTTGGCAGGGCCAGGAGGTTGAACTTCCTCTTTGGAAGCCTCTGCCAGAGGCTTATAAGAAGTGGTGTTGGCCGGGTGAGGTGGCTCACGCCTGTAATCCCAGCACTTTAGATGGCTGAGGCGGGTGGTTCATGAGGTCAGGAGTTCAAGACCAGCCTGGTCAACATGGTGAAACCTCGTCTCTACTAAAAATACAAAAATTAGCTGGGCATGAGGGCAGGTGCCTGTAATCCCAGCTACTCGGGAGGATGAGGTGGGAGAATTGCTGGAACCCAAGAGGCGGAGGTTGCAGTGAGCCAAAATCATGCCACTGCACTCCAGGCTGTGTGACAGAGTGAGATTCTGTCCCCCCCCCCCAAAAAAATGGTGTCCTCATCGATTTCAGATGCATCCTGGCTGCTTGCAGAAGGGGTCCGGGAGGACACAGACTGTGACGGAATGGTGGCCAGAATGCAGGCTGGAGGTGATATGCGGTGGTGGGCAGGTGAGGGGCTCAGGGCAAGAGCTGACAAAACTTGCGGTCTGTCTGGTTTGCAGGAAGAGAGGGGGGAGGGGAGGATGGCTCCCAGGATTCTGGCTGGGCCACCTAGGTGAGTGATGGCACCCTCATGGGGACAGGGCACACTGGAGGAGGGGCAGGCTTGGCAGGAAGGACTGCATGGCTTCATCTCATGCTGAGTCCACATGCAGCCACAGCTGTAGCTAGACCACAGGTGGGTGCGTGTTCTGGAGCACCAGAGAGCTGTCTGGGCCAAAGACGCAGGTCTGGGAGTCAGCAGGCATGATGAGGCCACAGGAGGGAATGCAGACTGACAGGGCAGTGACCAACTCCAGGGTCAACAGGCACAGGCAAAGAGGAGAGGACGGAGTGTCCCAAAGGTGGCGGTGGAGGACCGGGTCAGCAGCATCACAGAAGGCACAGGCCACAGGTGCCCAGGGTATGCTGGGTGGGCAGATGCATCTGGTGTCTGAGAGATCGCCAGGCTCAGATTTAAAGGAACCAAGTGCCCAAGTACGTTAGAGGGTAGGGCAGGCCCGTGGAGCCGGGGCCCTTCTTGGGTGGAGGGAGGGTGAATGAGGGAGTAACGGAGAGGTTTGGGTGCAGGATTGTGGGGGCTGGCTCCTGTGCTGATACAGCCGGGTGCCAAGGGGCTCGCAGAGGAGGGGAGTTCTGGGGGCTGCTTGGGGCAGTGGGGCCACTAGACAGGCCTGGGAGAGGGGTCCACATGAAGACGGCCTCCATGGGGGGCAGTGAGAAGCCTGGGAGCTTTGTGGAGGGTTCGAGGTTCTCCAGAGATCAGTTTCCAGACTTGGTTTTGCCACAGGCTGGGTTTGGCTCCCTGAATCTCTGTGTCTCAGTGTGTGTGTGTGCATACGTGTGTGTGTGTTTGCATATGTGCATATGCATGAGTGTTAGTATGTATATATGTGTATGCATATGCGTGTGTTTGAGTGTGCATGTGTGTGCGTGTGTGTACATTTGCATGTGTGTGTGTGCATGTGTGCATATGTGTGTATGCATGTATTCGTGTGTACATGTGTATGCACATTAGTGTGTGTGTATGTGCATAAGTGTGTGAGTGCAGGTCTGTGTGTATGTGTGTGCATGTGTGTGTGCATATGCATGTGTGTGCATGTGTGAGTGTGTGTGTGCGCGTGTGAGTGTGTGTATGGGGGAAGGGGGCAGCAGGACTTGTCTTTCCCACCTCACAGGGCAGCTGTGAGGGACGCTGTGTGAATGTGTTCTATGAAGCCCACAGCTCTCTAGGAATGTGTTATATCTAATGCCCCCAGGAGAAGTGGCCGGCCTTTTTCGAAGATGCCCAGCCCTCGCCCCTCCTCTGGGCCGGTGCCAGCTGTCCAGGAAGGGTGATAGGCTCTAGGCCCCTTCTCTTCTTGGAGGAAAAGAGGTTGGCGGTACCAGGAAGAAGGGGGTGGTAGGTGGCTCTGAGCCGTGTGGAAAGAGCCCTGACTTGGAGCTGAAGAGCTAGCTCACTCCTTCCGGGCTGTCTGCAGGCCATGCCGCTCCTGCCTCAGGTTGCTCAGCTGTGGAATGGGACAAGCCCTGCTGGCAGAGCAGGTGGAAGCCCCCGGCCCACCGTAGGCCTTTGATCAGATGCTGGCTGGCTCAGCCCACGGCTGGGTAGGGCTGGGGCTCTTGTGTCTGGGCCAAGGGGAGTTTAAGTCACCCCGGTAGGGTGGCTGGTCTGTGCAGGCTCCACCCCCTGTCATCTGGATTGAGGTGGGTGAGAGAGTGGGGGAGCGAGGTGGGGCCCAGGGAGGCCCAGCAGCAAGTAGCGGGCCTACGGTCCTGGGCTAGTTGTGGCCAGTTCCTTCACCCCAGGGATGGGGCAGACGCTCAGCCTCGCAGCCCTCCCTGTGCGGCTGCCACAACTTGCCCTTGAGATGAGGCCTTAGAAGTGTCATTCCTCTGAAAAGTGGGGGTGCAGCCCCCATGCCACACTCATGTCCTGGTCAGAGATTCAGTGGGGCACTCCCTAAGAGGGTCTGATTCTAGCCCACAGCCTCCTTCACAGCACGCGCTGCTCTGTAAAGATCTGCGGATCGCAGGAATCTGTGGTCGCTGGAACCACCTGTGCCCCGTATCTAGTTCAGCACTGGGGGCCTCTCCTTTGAGGCTCAGCTGCTCTGTGGAAGCAGCACGCCCTGCCATAGCTCCTTCTGGAGGAGCTGAGCATTGGGACAAAGTCCCAGCTTTGCACAGGGGATGGAGGCAACTCCCCTTTTTTCAAGTTAGGAGTAGGATTTGGAGTGGGGGATCCAAGCGCACCCTGTCCCCCCACCCCAGGCAGGAGCTGGCTGCAGCCTGTTGTGAAGCTTTGCTGGAGTCAGGGGGCAGCAGAGGCCCAGTCTTGGTGAGTGCAGGAGGCAGGCGCATGGCCAGCTCCTCACGCTGGGTCACAGATAGAGCGGAGCTAGCAGAGCCCCTGTCTGCGGAGAACCAGGATTCCAGAACGGAGCTTTTGGAAGCGTTTGCCCTTCTGCCCCAGCCTCAGGCTTCTCACCCTTGCCAGCAGGCTCGATGGTCACCTTCTCGCTGCTGTTGCCCCGACCGGCGGAGGTGACGGCGGCCACCCACAGCAGATATTGCTGACCGCGGTTTAGGTGGGCGATCCGGTAGAAGAGCTGCTCTGGACTAGTCTCATACTCACTGGGAGCCTGCGGGGCAGAGGCGAAGAGGTGCTGAGAGGTAGAACCGGGGCCCTCCAGCCTCCAAGTCTTCCTCAGTACCCAGGGCTCAGAGGAGAGGATGGTGGGGTCAGGTGGGAGGCAGGATTCTGTCCTATTTGGCCTTGCCAAATTTTGGAGATGCAGCAGACAGAGTGTGCCCTGGGCTTGGCCCTAGGAGCTGATGGGCCTGCCTTGTGGTGTGGTTGGGTCAGCCTCAGTTTACCTCTTTAACTGATCCAGACTCTGGCAACTGTGGCTCAGGCCAGGGGATGTGAGTGCTTTAGGTGAGAGATGGGGTAGTCAGCAGAAGGGAGAATGGGGGACAGCGGGTCCCAGGAAAACCCCGAGGAAAGAGTCTTCAGAAAGAAGCCAATTGACCGCCTCTGCCTGATGAGGGCTGGGGACAGGCTCCTGCAGCCTGCCCTGGCTCCCAGTCACCTCCTAGCCCTGCCGCCTAATTACCACTCCTGCATTTTGCAGGCAGCACGCCTGCCGGCCCAGGGAGGAGGGGGCTGCAGAAGGAACTGTGAAAGCTTTGCTGGGCAGCACTTTATTAATGATTATTAGTGGTATAGATCAGCACATATATTTGTAGGTTATATAAATCTATAAATTTTTTTTTAACAAAATGACAGTTTTGACAAGTTGCCAACAAAACAATATCGGATCCCAGTGGTTTTACCAGTTGCTTTGATGAAAAGATTATGTTGCCTTGGAAACCAGAGGCTCAGATATTGAAATGAATTTGAGAAGGAGCTTTTGATAAGCGCTAGTTTGCAGACCTCCTGTCAGCCTCTTCCCTGGCACAGGCGGGATGGGACTGACTTTCATTTTATTTTATTTTCTGGTCAGCCGCGGGGAAGGGAGAGGAGGACAGCACCAGGGCCCCTTTGAAATCAGAGCGGAAGTCCAGGGAGGGGGGAGCAGCCCCAGAACAGATTGGGGGGCCCGAGGCCAGAGGGAGCTAATAATTAGTTATCTCTGCAGTCACGCGATCTTGCGCACACAGGCTCATAGGCGCACACACATGTAGATGCGTGCACACACGTGCTGAGGAGCAAACCTCCAGGCACAGAGGGACATTCTTCATGCCCCACGGGAGGGCTGAGAGGCCCAATGACTTAGGACAGGAGGAGACACCCTTTTGGCCCCAGGCCACCCATCTGTAGGGAAATGTTAGGGGAAAAGGCACAGGCATCTCTGCAACACACACGGAGCCCCCTGGCATACTCTTGCCTCCCTGGTGGGGGTCTGGCCTTGAATCCAGGAGGTCCAGGGGATGGGCAGGTACAGAGCCATGCTTGAGGTGGTTGGGAAACCCTTTCAGGCCACAGCACTCTAGACTGGTGTGCGTATCTGTAGTTGATATGTGAGTGAAGCGTGAGGTGGTGGAGTGGCTTCAGCACCCGCCTGCCCGTCTTCCTGGGTGTACAACCCGTAAGGTTGCCCAGGGTTTCTGGACACTCAGCTTTCTCTCCTGAAAACTAGGGAAGCCATACAGCTCTGCCCAACCTGTGTGTAACTGAGGCGCAAGGAAGCTGGGACGTGCATGTCCTTTGTAAACTAGAACATGTTCTTCTCCGGGCTCATTTTTGGTGACAGTACAGGAATGTATGTGTTTGTATGTACGTGTGAATGTGTGGCGAGCAGCTGAGTGTATGTGCTCATGTGCACCAGTGTATACCTGAGTGTATATTTGTACCTACACAGACAGGGCAAGAAAGTTTGGCTTCTCCTTGTAGGTATTAGCATCCAACCCAGATCCTAGGTGCTTTCCTTTTAATCTGGACACCCCATGTGTCTCCTGAAATCGTGTTCAAAAGCACACAGCCATATCCCCAAATAAAGTTCCAGTGGGTCAAAGGTTTTCGAAAAAAGGCAACCTATGAAAGAACAAACTATATAGGTAAATATTTGTCAATTTTTCTAATCCTAAAAACAATGGCAAAATCATAAATGTAAATGATTGATAAGTTCAGCTTCTGTAAAAAGAAGAACTATTATACATCAAAAACAGAATCAAAGGCTGGGTGTGGTGGCTCACACCTGTAATCCTAACACTGTGAGAGGCCGAGGCAGGCAGATCACCCGAGATCAAGAGTTCAAGAGCAGCCTAACATGGCGAAATCCTGGCTCTACTAAAAATGCAAAATTAGCCAGATGTGGTGGTGCATGCCTGTAATCCCCGCTACTTGGGAGGCTGAGGCAGGAGAATTGCTTGAACCTGTGAGGTGGAGTTTGCAGTGATCTGAGATGATGCCATACTGCACTCCAGCCTGGGCAATAAGACTGAAACTGTCTCAAAAAAACAAAACAAAAAAAAAACAAAACAAAAATAAAAAACAAAACAAAAAACCAAAATCCAGAATCGAGAGGCAAGCAATGAATTGGCAGATACTTGCAACTTATGTGACAGAAAATGGCTATTATCCTTAATACGTAAAGAACACTTATATACTTATAAATCAATAAGAAAAACATGAGAAACCCAAATAGAAAACTGGACAGAGGACGTAAATCGACAATTACCCAAAGAAGAAAAATGTAGCTAATAAACATAAAACCTTTAAAATAAGGCACATGTATAAAAAAATCCATCTAACAAAAATAAAGCAGAACAAAACCAAACAAATGTGGGACCAGCATCGGTGCAAAGGACAGTGCTGCTGGTCATTCCCCATGCGGGTGGAAGCATACATGGGTGCAAACACTCTGAAGGGCAACTCGTAAATCTGTATGCAGAACTTTAAGAATATTTACACTCTTTGTGACCTAGGAATTCCTATAGAAATTTACCCTAAGAAACTATTAAAGTAAGTGCATAAAGACTTCTGTGAGGGATGTTCATTGAAGCATAATTTATAATGGTGAAAATTTGCAAGACACATTAAATATAGAATAATGGGAGACTGGTTAAATAGATTCTGTATAAGCAGCAATTCAAGACTGTATTTTAGGCCAGGTGTAGTGGCTCATACCTATAGTCCCAGCACTTTGAGAGGCTGAGGCAGGCGGATTACTTAAAGTCAGGAGTTCGAGACCAGCCTGGCCAACATGGCACAACCCCGACTCTACAAAAATACAAAAATTAGCTGGGTGTGGTGATGTGCGCCTGTAATCTCAGCTGCTTGGGGGGCTGAGGCAGGAGAATCACTTGAACCTGGGAGGTGGAGGTAACAGTGAGCTGAGATGGTACCACTGCACTCTAGCCTGGGTGACAGAGTAGGGCTCTGTCACACACACCTGAAAAAATGTTTTAGAAGAATATCTGATGGTGTGGGAAAGCACCAACAGGTATTACATGAAGAAAGCAGATGATTACATAACATTATGTATAATATTATTTTAATTTAGTTTAATAAAACCCCTCAAAACCTGTACTATATGTACAGGTCAAAGATTGAAAGATTTATATACCAAAACATCACCAGTCTTTATCTGTAGGAAGTAAGAGTACAAGTAATTTTTACTTTCCTCTTTATTCTTTCATATGTTTTATAGATTTTCTATGATAAAATTGCATTACTTTTATAATCAGTGAAAATGTATTACATTATTAGTAAAATTTCTGTCAGGGTTCAATGCAGTCCCCAGGGTGTAACTGACCTGTAGCCAAGGCCATACACACTCTTTCCTGAGGCTTCCACATGTACCGGGTCATCCGCTTTCACCAGCATGTGTGAGCACACACAGTCTCAGACATCTCCCTGTAACTCCAGGCTCATGCCACGGTTTTGCACTGTCACTGATACACGAGTGTGCCCTCACCCCTAGCACCCTCTCCTGGAGCTGTCTTTCATAAATGAGTTTGTATTGAAATTGTTTGAAATTTGGAATGTATTTGTGCGAAGTGATAATGTCACACACAGTGGTTAGGTCCCTAGGTCCCCAGATCCCTCACTAAGTTCAGTTTCCCCCCAACTTTTGACCCCAGTATCCCTACAGGAATGAAGTTCTTATCGCATCAGCAGGCCTTGTGTGATACTGTCTGTTGGGAAATCGCAAGACACGAAGAGGATGGAGGGAGGTTCCCGATGTCTCCAGCAGCAGGAGGAGGGGATCGGGACCAGGGGCTCTGTTCTGGAGCCCAGGAGAGGATCCCTGAAGCCTGAGTTAATGAGGAGGCGAGGCTCCCGGACACCAAGCCCTTGGAAAAACTTCATTATCAGAGGAGAAAATAAATGCGAAAGTCCAAGCTAGAGAATGACTACCCTCTCCCATCAATTAAGGAAAGGAAGCTTGCCCACTATCAGAGGCGACAGCATTGCCAGGTCGCTGCTGATTCATTCATCAAACAGGTATTCCGGGACCTGGATGGTCCAGGCACAGGGCTCAGCCACTGGGGACCCAAAGATGAAAAGATGCTGCCCCTGTCCTCATGGCGGCCTCAGAGACCAGGGAGGGAGACAGATATGTGAACAGTGAACTGCCTTCAAAAGCATTCAGTGTCTGACACGAGTGAGGAGCATGCCATGGGAGGAATCCACGGGGCAAGGGTGGGGAGGTGTGAAGAGGTGCAGTGGTGCCCAGAATCGTGACTAGCTCAGTGTCCTGAGAGCCTAGAATGTGTGCGTGTGTGTGCTGGGGGCAGAGCTGGGGGGAGAGGAGAAAACAGAGCAGAACACATGGCTGAAAAGCACCAAGTGTCTGTGCTGATGTGGAGTCACTGGCACTGTGATCCCCCATGAGTGGGGGTGTGATTGGCGTGAGCACCCAACAACGGCGAACACCTGCAGACCCTGTGACCTAGTGATTCCTTTCCTAGGTGCACACCTGACAGAGATCCACGCCCATGAGCACCCAGAGACACGCACAGGAATGTTCACAGTAGCACCACTGGAAGAATTCCAAACTGAAAACTGCCCCAAAGCCTTCCTTCCATCAATAGATACTAGTGGTTTAATAATTGTAACATATGCACTCAAAAACTATACAGAAGAATGAATGCACTATAACCACACACGACAATGTGAATGAAATTCATAATAATGTTGGGTAGGAGAAGCTGGACGCATGGTATGACTCCATTTGTACAAAGTGCAAAAAGAAGCAGCACTAATCTATGTTATTGAAGTCAGGATGATCGTTACCCAGGAGGAGGGGCAGGTGGAGGCTGCAAGGGCGCATGGGGGTCCAGGGCGTTGTAATGTCCTGTTCTGTGCTCTGGGTGCTGCTGCTTGGGTGGGTTGTGAAAATTCGCTGAGGTGTACAGTGATGACGTGTGTGCACTTTGCTGCATGTGAGGTAGTGGCCATGAGGATGGAGAGGAGGGGCCGCAGTCACTGGGCTTCCCCTCTGGTAATAGAACTCTGGCCTCACTGGCGGGGAGCTGGGCCAGCTACCACTCAGAGGGTAATTCAGAAAGACCACAAGAAAGCAGACAGTATAGGAGGAGATGATGACACAATTACTGAGCAATTTCAGGGCAGCTCTCCCGGCAGCCAAAAGCTCATGTGCAGATGCTCAGGCTGATGCCCAGTTGTTGATGGAGGGGGGAGTGGGCCTCCTATTCCTGCTTCTGCTCCTTGCTCCCCCAGCCCTGAGCACATCTTCCTGACAGTACTCCTGGCCCTCTAGTGTGCTCCCCTCTGCCACCCACCTCCACTAGACTGGAAGCCCCTTGAGGGCAGGTATCTGCTCCTGCTCCTGTACCTAGAATAGGCACACTCTAGTCACTCAGCAGGACTTCGTGGTTGACTGGCTGGAGACGATGAAAGAGGCAGGGGAAAGGATGCATATGATGGGATGTAGTGCATATCCCGCTGCTCCCATCTCCATCCTCCCTTCCCTCTCTGTGGGGCCCTTCTGAGCTTCACTGGAGGGGCTGCGCTAGCCCCCTGCCCTATGTCTGGCCTGGGGGCTGCCCTCTCCGCTCCAAGGTTAGGGCAGATATTGTAGTCTCTCAGTCCTCTCCTCTTGCCTGAGACCAGGCCCTGGACCAGAGATGCCTGTGTCTTCTCTTAGATTTCCCCCGTCTTTCCTCTCCCTCAGCTTGCTCCTTGTAGAGGCACTCATGCAGGGCAGAGCTCCGACGGCGCCTCCAAGCCCAGACCCACTATGTTGAAATGCGATTCATTCCCAGAGGCCACAGACCAGCCTGGGGACCTGCTCTGAGCCTCTGTGAGCCGGAGCAGGAGAGCTGAGGCTGGCTTCCCTGCACCCTGCCTGCTTGGGGATGACCCGCCTGACTAAAAGGAGCCTCCAGTGCTTGTGACACTCTTATGGCCGCTGGAACAGAGGACTGACCCAAGATGGACACTGAGTAAGGCTTCGGCCACTTTGGGTGGCCAGTCCCTATTCTTATCTACGAATCCAGGCAGAAGCTCGATACAAGCAGCCTCAGGGTTTGGCCTGGAAGCCAGCTGATCTACAAGGTCCCTTTTCTTTTTTTCCATCCCCTTCATCATTTGGCCCTGAACTCACTTACCGGCTGGCCAGACCCGGGGCTGGAGCAGAAGATGGTGTACTTGCGGATCACCCCGTTGGGCTTGGTAGGGGGGAGCCAAGACACAACCACACTGCTAGCTGATGAAGGGACAGCTTTGATGCCAGCAGGGGGACCTGGAACTGAGCAGGGAGAAGGCCTCGTCAGTTGAGAGAAAGCAGGAGCACAGCCTTTGGGAAAAATGACAGTTGGGAGAGGGAGGCAGGTCAATCTGGGAAAGCTTCCTGGAGGTGGCACCCTTGAGCTGTGGTTTAGAGGGGGAGGGTCCGTCCTGTGTGGTAAACAGGTGGGAGGAGAAAATATCAATTGGAATTGTAACAAAGTCTCTGAAATGGAGGTCCTGGGAGCCCCAGCTTCATAACTGTTTCGCCAAAACAAGGACGTAGCATAGGCAAAAAAGAAACAGAACCCATGAGGAATTCATCTTGATTCCTCTGACCTTAACCCCTGACCCCACACCCTTACTAACTATAAGCCTGTATTTAGGGGGAAAACACACAGCACCTGGCACTTTCCCTTTCTTGGCCTGTGAGTTTCTTGAAGCTGGGACCACAACCTGTTTACTGGCATGGGCCGGGGGCACAGGCCTTGGAGTGCTGGCTGGGTACTTTCTGGAAGAAAATCTACCTTAGAAGTGACTAGGAAATCCATCCTAGGTGGATTCTAACTTTTTTTTTTTTTTGGAGACAGAGTCTCGCTCTGTCACCCAGGCTGGAGTGCAGTGGCACGATCTTGGCTCACTGCAACCTCTGCCTCCTTTTGCCTCCTGGGGTTCAAGCGATTCTCGTGCTTCAGCCTCCCAAGTAGCTGGGACTACAGGCACTGGCCACCACACCCAGCTGATTAATTTCTTCATTTTTTTATTTTTAGTAGAGACGGGGTTTCACTATGTTGGCCAGGCTGGTCTTGAACTCCTGACCTGAAGCGATCTGCCCACCTCGGCCTCCCAAAGTGCTTGGATTACAGGCGTGAGCCGTGGCGCCCAGCCAAATTCCAACTCTTATGGACTATAATCTCCCCTCACCCTCCCCTCAGGGCCTGTCTCACCTAGCTGGGACCCCAGGGCTCTGCCTGGGAGACTGGAAGCTTCCTGTTCTCAGCTCATATTCCCTGTCCTCATCTCTCCATTATATGATTGTGTACTTGTTTTCCCTTCTAGAAACTTTTATGATCTTTTGAGGACAGTGATAGCATCAACTTATTTTACCTCTCTGAGCCTTCATTTCCCTATCTATACAATGGAGATAAGAACTACATTAAAAGGTTGTAGTGAGAATTCGTGCTAATTAAAATACTGGCCAGGTGGTTTACACGTGTAATCCCAGCACTTTAGGAGACCTAGGTGGGTGGATCCCCTGAAGTCAGGAGTTCAAGACTAGCCTGGGGAAACCCTGTCTCTACAAAAATTACAAAAATTATCTGGGCATGATGGCATGTGCATGTAATCTCAGCTACTAGGGAGGCTGAGGCAGGAGAATCACTTGAACGTGGGAGGTGGAGGTTGCAGTAAGCTGAGATCACGCCACTGCACTCCAGCCTGGGCAACAGAGCAAGACTCTGTCTTAAAATAAAATAAAATAAATAAAATAAAATAAAGCACTTAGCGCTCTTCTGGTCCTAGGCGCTTTGGGAACCGTGGCTTAGGTGCAGACATGGCCAAGTCCAAGAACCACACAACACACAACCAGTCCTGAAAATGGCACAGAAATGGTATTAAGAAACCCCAATCACAAAGATATGAATCTCTTAAGGGGGTAGACCCCAAGTTCCTGAGGGACATGCGCTTTGCCAAGAAGCACAACAAGAAGGGCCTAAAGAAGATGCAGGCCAACAATGCCAAGGCCATGAGTGCACGTGCCGAGGCCATCAAGGCTCTTGTAAAGCCCAAGGAGGTTAAGCCCAAGATCCCAAAGGGGGGTGTCAGCCGCAAGCTTGATCGACTTGCTTACATTGCCCACCCCAAGCTTGGGGAGCGTGCTCGTGCCCTGTCCCAACCTATATGCCATTGTTGTGTATTTTATTTCATTTTATTTTTTAGTTTTTTGAGATGGACTCTCACTCTGTCACCCAGACTGGAGTGCAGTGGCATGATGATCTTGGCTCACTCACTGTAACCTCTGCTTCCCAGTTTCCAGTGATTCTCCTGCCTCAGCCTCCTGAGTAACTGGGACTATGGGCTATGGGCACTCGCCACAACAATGCCAGGCTAATTTTTGTATTTTTAGTAGAGATGGGGTTTCACCATGTTGGCCAGGCTGGTCTCGAACTCTTGACCTCAGGTGATCCACCTGCCTTGGCCTCTCAGAGTGCTGGGATTTCAGGCATGATCCACCATGCCTGACCCCATTGTTGTTTATTTTAATTCTGTATATACATCATCATCATTGATATTTTATGCAGTCAATATTAATTTAGATTTACCCATATAGTCACCACTTAATTTCTCTGCCTTTACTTGCTGCGTCACTGAGCTTTCTCCTAGGATCATTTTCCTTCTAGTTAAAGAATATCCTCTGATATTCTCTAGGGCAGTCATGTTGGTGATAAATTCTCTCAGATTTTATTTGTCTGGAAATGTCTTTATTTCATCTTAATCATGAGGAATAGTTTTGCTAGATATAATATCATAGGTTGGTAACTGTTTCCCTTACATATTTTACATATATGCAAATATATCATTATCCTTTTTTCTGATTTCCATTGTCTCTGACAAGTTAGCCACAATCTTATTGCTTCTTCTTTGGAGGTAATCAGTCTTTTCCTCTGGTTGCTTTTAAGATGTCTGTCTTTTCTTTATCAGCTTTAATGTGATGTGCTTAGGTACAGATTTCTTTTTTTTTTTTTTTTGAGGCAGAGTCTCATTCTGTTACCCAGGCTGGAGTGCAGTGGTGCAATCTCAGCTCACTGCAACCTCTGCCTCTGGGGTTCAAGCAATTCTCTGCCTCAGCCTCCTGAGTAGCTGGGATTACAGACGCCTGCCACCATGCCTGGCTAACTTTTTGTATTTTTAGCAGAGATGGGGTTTCACCATCTTGGCCAGGCTGGTCTTGAACTCCTGACCTCATGATCCACCTGCCTTGGCCTCCCAAAGAGCAGATTTCTTTAATGTGTGACAACAGAGTTTGTAGAGCTTCTTGAATTTGTGGCTTGATATATTTCATTACTGTGAAACATTTTCAGACATTTTATCTTTCACCTCATTCTCTTTCTCCTATTTTTGGGATTTCTTCTTACTGCATCCTGTATGTCCTTGATACTCAGAATGCAGTCTGTGGATCATTACCAGCATCACCTGCGAGTATGTTAGAAATGCAAAATCTCAGGTTCCACCTGAGACCTGCCAAATCAGGACCTGAATTTTAACATGATTCCCAAGTGATCTGTATACACACTGAAGTTTAATGTTTCTTGCCTGCTCCTTTAATTTTCAACCCATTTGTCTTTCTGTGCTTCATCTGGATATTTTCTTCTGCCTATATTCCAATTGACAAGTTATATCTTCAACTGTGTTTAATGTGTTATTAAATCCATCAACTGAGTTCTTAATTTCATGTATTAGGGTTTTTTTCTTCCTAGATTTTCTATTTGATAGTTTCCAATTCTCTGAAGTTTTCAGTTTTGTCAAGCATAATTATCTTAAAGTCCATGTTTGATAAAACCCAAGTTTGAAAACTTTGTGGATCTGTTTCTCTTTTTTTCCCCTGATGGCTTTTGTTCATGTTGTCCCATTTTTTTATTGTATGCCAGACACAACATTTGCAAAATAGTTTATAGAAATAATTTGTGGCATATGCTGATGTTATCTTCCTAAAGAGAGGATTCATGTTTGTTTCTGATAGGCACCTGCAATCTGGGCACTAGCAATTTGGGGTCACTTCAATTCAATTTCCAGTGTTGAGATGATTTGAAGGTGAGCTGTGTGCTTTTGGTTCACTTTTGCCCTTAGAGTGGCATCCTTTATGGTCCCAACTCTAAGCGAGGGGGATTCACCAGACAGACCCCCACAACCTGGCAAGCCCTGACCTGACCTCCAGTTCATGTCTTTCTAGTGCTGTTCAGCTTCTCGGCCACTGCCTCCAGATTCAGCAAATGTTCCTTGGGGAAGGAGCCGTTCCAAACGTCAGGTTCACCTTTGGGGCCTCTATTTTCCCCTGGATTCTGGCCCAATGATTCTTCACTCTCTTGCTAGCTTGCTGATGCCTTCAACAGGTGTTCTAAAAAGTAGTTTGTCCATATTTCCTAGCTGTCCTCAGCAAGAAGAATGGGTGTAAGTTGCCCAATCCACCCTTGCTGGAGGTGGAACTCCTCATATGTCTTTCTAAACTTGTCACTGCCCTTCATCCTCAGTGCTGCTGCCCTTGTATATAACTTCCTCATCTCTGCCTACACAGGTTCTAACTGGTCTCTCTGACACTAGTCCTTATTACCCACCTTTTGCCTGTGATCAACAAGAGTTATCTTCCTAAAACATGGGTCTAGTCATGCCTCTTCCTCAGTTAAAGGTCTTTAAAGTGGTCTAAAATTCAAGTCAATTTTGCACTTGGAGGTCATATTGCCAGGTTTGATATTCACAGGGGAGGCTGAGGAGTCATAACTAGAGCTCGTGAACTGGGTCCAGCTAAACCAGCCTGAAACCACGCTCAGACTAAGGGGTCTGGACTCAGTAAATAAACCTGAATTTATGTTTGCATTTTGTTCTTCTAAATTTCTTTTGCTTTTTTCTAAATTTCCTGATAATTTTTTTTCTTTGGAAAAGTGCAAAATCCTGAGGGTGGGGTCATGGTGTCTTCAGATGAAGGTATTTGCCTAAGTTCCCACGGTGGGGCTGGAATTGGATCACAGACCTGTCTGCTTTCCCAGGCCAACTGAGTAGCAACTGTAATAACTTCTACCTATGACTGGGAGAGGCTGGCGGAGCTGGGGTGGCTGCCACCCCAAGTTATTACAATTACTACTCAGTTGGCATGGGACTGAATAGTAATTGTAATAACTGATTACATGAGTAATTATGTAATTACTGAGTAGTAATTAATTGTAATAACTAATACAGTAGATGACTCTCCCTTTCTTAGGTGGAAGTTATTACAATACTACTCAGTTGGTATGGGACTGAATAGTAATTGTAACATCAGGTAGTTGGCTGCTGCCCTCTGCCATTCCCTCCTAGACCTTGCAGAGAGAACCTCACTTTTGCTTAAGTACCTGAATTCCTCCACACTTCAGAGACAGCTGTTTCTACAGCCTACTCTAGAGGGTATGTCACGTTTGGGGTAAATAGGCCATGATAATTCCGTTTCCTGTTTGGTGACTGGCTTAGCAAGAGGCACGTGGCCCCACTCTGGCCAATGGGAAATGATGATGTCTGTTGAGGGGGTTTCTGGGAAAGTTGCTTCGACTCCCTAGAAAGGCATGCCCACTCCCTCTTCTCAGTCTGAACTCTGTCTTGCCTGGTGTGATGCCTAGGGCTGCAGCCATCTTGAAATCATAGCGGGGGCAGCTGATATTTAGAGGATGGCAGAGCAGGAGGCTGGGAACCACTGACTTAACCAACCTTGGAGCTGTCCTACCCAGGACTTCTTGCTATGTGTGATAATTAATATGCTTATTGCTGAAATCTGTTTTCACTGACTTTCACGACAAAAAGCTTCCTAACACACACAAGTAGTTTGATGGACAGTATAAAGTATATGGAGACAAGAAAGCCTAGATTTGCTTCCTGTTAGCTGAGTGGCATTTGGAAAGTAGGTTTCACTCTGGAGGCCTCAGTTTACTTGTCTGTAACATGGAAATAATGCTTACCTCTCAGGGTTCTTGGGCGGGTTAAGTCATGTTATGACTGCTATTCTGGATAAGATCTCATCTGACGCTGGGTTCTTTGTGGCCTGGGCTTCTCCTTGGAGACCCTGATGCCCTTACCTGAAGCAGTCCTTTCTTTTTTTTTTTTTTTTTGAGATAGAGTTTTGCCCTGTCACCCGGTGGCATGACGTCGCCTCATTGCAAACTCCGCCTCCCAGGTTCAAGTGATGCTTGAGTCTCAGCCTCCCGAGTAGCTGGGCTTAGAGGCACGTGCCACCACGCCTGGCTAATTTTTTGTATTTTCAGTAGAGATGGGGTTTCCCCATGTTGGCCAGGCTGGTTTTAAACTCCTGACCTCAGGTGATCCACCCACCTCAGCCTCCCAAAGTTATAGGTGTGAGCTGGGATTACAGGCGTGAGCTGCAGCGCCCGGCCTGAAGCAGCCATGTAATTGCCAGCACCTCGGTAACCGTAAAGCAACTGCTATTTGCTAGTACCTGACATTTCAGATGTTCCACTAGTCGTTGATGAGGTATCACTCTCCCCATGTTATCATGAGGAAACTGGGTTTCGGGAGGGTTAAGTGACTTTCCCATGAAAGCCAGTTTGGGGCATGTACTTCCGCTGTATTTATCAGCGCCCTTTCCCTGCTGCAGTGCCGCCTCCCAAAGGGGAGGGGCAGTGCTTCTTTGGGGCTGGGCTCCTGTTGTTTATAACGGTGCGTGGCTCTGGGGCGGAGAGCTGAAGGCTCCTTGCAGGTGAGGGTGGTGCTCCTAGACCTCTGGGTTCCTCATAGGGCCTGGCCTTGATCAGTTAAACAGGTGGAGGCGCTTATGGCTCAGGCCGTGCATCAGAATAGGAGGCAAGAAGAAGCGTGGGGGCCCCAGGGGCTCATTTCTGGAGACCAAAAGGTGCCTAAGTGTGGCCCTGAGGCCTCGTATGGGACCAGCCTCTAGATGCCATCTCTGCTCAGTCTCCACACAAGAGCAGGTGGCTCTGCCCGGAGCTGTCCCAGGAGGCCTTGATGGGAGGATTAATGACAGGAAAAGTAGGGCAGGCAGGTTGGTAAATATTGAATTGCTCAGAGCTTAAGTGGAGAGGGGGCCTGCTGGAGGGGAGAGGGAGGGAGAGCAGGGAGATTAAGCTGCGCTGGGAGCTGGCCCAGTCACCGGGCACTGGGCAACACGGCGGCTTGTCCGCCACCGCTACCAGCCGGAGTCGCTCCTTTTCAACATGTCAAACCCTTCTAGCGCCTTTGAGCAAATTATTTAGGTAGGACCTAGACTCTGGGTCTCCATGTCCCTTGAAAAAACTAAGGGCGGGTGGGGAGGGAGCCATCATGGCAAGGGTGTGTCTGGCTTCTGTGCCTGCTGCATGCCAGTCGCTTGTCACACCTCTTCTTGTAACAGGGCACCTGGCCTGGAGTGCTCACCTATGAGACAACTAAGTGATGGAGCTGGGACCGGGAGGGGAAGGAGGTGGTGGGGCTGCAGGCAGGAGCCCAGAGCTGTGTGCCGTTCACACATGGACCTCCTGGACATGGCGTTCCATAGGAATGGTGGCCCCTGGGGTCCTGCAGCTCTAGGCCTCGGTGAAAGCCTGGTCCCTCTGGCCTGTTTCCTCCTGGGCTAACTTCACGAACCCAGCCTCCCCTTTCCCCTGACCTTACTGTGTCACTCTGTCCTTGAGTCTGGCCCCCTGCCTCTGGCTTTCCTCTAGTCCTGCCCCATGAGGGAGGGCTTTGAGATCACCCAGCTCCAAATGGAGACATACCCCCATCCCTGCCTTGACAGTCCAGGGCTGGGACCATGCTGTGGCCTCTGTGGGTGGCTGTGAAGTCCCTACCCCAGGATGTGCTGAGTGATGCTCCTGCTCCCCCAGCCCCCACATCTGTATCCAGAGGAAAGCAGGCTGAACCTCGCAGGGGAGCCAGTGCCACAGAAAGAATGCTCATGGGGTGGGAGGAGAGGGTTTCTCCGGCTTCTGACTCAATGCTGCAGAGAGCAGGTGTGTGTAGGGGGGTGCGCGGGGAGGTGCGGGGAGGTTCACAGTTGCTTCTCCGCTCATGCGTGAATCCCAGAGCATTTCCCCAGAGTCCTCAAGGCCACCCTCCAGTGACTCGAAGGGCAGGAGAAAGGACAGTACCCTGCTCTCACCCTGCCTCCTGGGGTGGGGTTGGGGTGAGCAGTGGGCGGCAGGGCCAGCCCGTCCCGAGGAGAGGGCTGGACTCACCGTCCTCCTTGGTCTGGATGTAGAGCACGCTGCTGCGCACGCCGTCCCCCGCCTGGGTGTAGGCCAGCACCTGGACGCTGTAGTTGGTGAACTTCTCCATGCCCCGCAGCTCCACCCGCTCCCGCGTGGTGGTGATGTTCTGCATCTCGCCCCACTCTGCCGGAGACCAGCAAACTCTGAGGGCCCGGCTCTGCCAGGCTGTGGCCCCTGCTGCCACCCCTGCTGCAAACTCTGCTCACACCTACGGCACCGGCTCAGCCCTCCACTCCATGGTGGCGAGGACTGGAGGGTCTTTCACCACGAGGTACCCAGGAGCAGATGCGGGCCACTGCCCCCAGGCCACATCTCTCTATGGGGCCCAGTGAGGGCGAGCCACAGATGCTGGCCTGGCCCTGGCCTCAGTTGACCTTGCACCAGCTTCACCTTGCTACACTCTGTAAAGCGCCTCTCTCTCCAAATGACCTTTCTCCCTCCTGCCACCTAACTCCCTTCCCATGGGAGAGCCTGGAGTGGCTTGGACCTGGTTAGAGGAGGTCCTGTCCAGGAGGGACAGCTCAGCAGCCACTCTTCCTGCTGCCCAGCCACCTTTGGCTGCCAGACCTCCCTGGGCACTTATCGACCCAGGGATGACGTGTGACAGGCTGAGGCTGCCTCCCCTGCCTCTGACTGCTCCTGAACTCTCAGTTGGGGTAAGGGACTGAGTGACCTGTCCACCTTCTCCCCACCATTGGAGACACCCAGCCATTCCCTGCACAGAAAGCCTGGGTGAGGCTGGTGGAGACGACAACCTCAGCCAGGAAGGGTGGGGAGACTCCTCAGACTCACGGAGGACGCAACATCCCGGCCTGGCAAGGACCTTCTCATAGACTCTAAAGAGGAGCTTAGGGAGAGGGTCCCTGGGGGCCAGAAGCGTAGAATGAGGAAAAGGGACAGACTCTGGAGCCTTCTGCTAGGACTGCTGGGCTTTCAGAAAGACAGGTTCGGCCACAGGCTGGGGAGCAGCCTTGTAGAGATGAGTGCCTGGAGACCCCTTCCCAGCACCTCACTGATGGTCCAGGACAGGCAAAAGGCCAAGGCGGAAGGTCTGGCCAGGGAAGGCAGCAGCTGCTGGGATCCAGAGGGCAAGAAGGCCGAGCCCAGTGTGAGGAGACTCCAGGAGAGTGCAGGAGGATCCTCAGGGGCTGGAGCAATAGGGCCTTCCTCTCCTGGAGTCAGAAACCAGGCAGGCCTGTCCACAACTGGAGCCAGAGAAAGACTCAGGAAAAGGGCAGCATGGCCAAGAGTCCAGCTGGTCTTTGGGGATTACTGAGGCCAATACATTCTTTAGGGGCTGAGCTGGGGAAGCCAACGGGCTTGGAAAAGAGGAAGTGAGTTCTGGAAAACAGGGACCACCCTTTACTTGGCTCCACACAGATATGGATGTAGTGAGGCCACATTGTGAGCAGTGGGGCCTGGCACTGCCCAACAAAAGAACTAGGGAGGCCTTCAGACGGCGCACCGTGAGCTACAGCCCCTGCTTTCTGTGGGAGGGAGTGTGGGTGGGGGTGGGGAAAGACACTTCCTGTGGCAGGTCTGGGCAGAGCAGAATCGGGATGGGAGAGGGGACTGTGAGTGCTGGACAAAGGACTGTGAGCTGGGTTCCAAGGTCCCCCAGGAAAGAAGAGAGGACCCAGGGGGCTGGGGGGCAGGAAGTGCAGGAGCCGGGTGGGAGGCAAACTCATTTTAGTCCTCTGTGACCTACTGAGGTGACTAATGCCTTCGGTGGAATATTTCCATAGTCTGGGACGCTGGTCCTCTGGCCTGTGTGAGCTATAAGCCTCCAGGTCACGTGAGGTCCGTGTAACCAGTGGGAGGAGCTTGGTGTGCCTCCGGGATGCTACTCAAGTGTGTTGCCCATTCCAGGGCGAGGAAGCCATTCGAAATTTTGGGCCGTCTTACTGGTTTTTCTCCATTTGCCATTCCTACCCCCCAGCTCCACTGTGCGCACCTCTCTGCCCTTTTCTGGGTCCCGGGCGGCTTGCCTGCACAGAAAACACGCCTTGCTGCATGCCTGGCTCCAGCTGGGTTTGGCCAAGGGAGGCTCTCCCTGGGTTCTGGTAGCCCTGCTTCCTCCCTTCCCCCTTGGCCTTAGGTGCTGATGGCTTCCTGCTGGTGCTGGTTCCAGGTGCTCACCTCCCTCCTCAGTCCCTTCATTAAACTCTTTGATCGCCCCATTTGAGTGTACTGACCGCTCCCCAAACGACACTGACTCACACGGCCATAAAGGCCTAATATCAGCACGTTAAATTAGGAAAGTCAGTATGCCCCTATCATGCCCCCAATACTTCCCCAAACACACACTGTTGTCTGGGAGTAGCTGGGTGTCTCCTTTCCTCACCAGAGATGCCACCCTGTGTACCACCATCCCCTTGCCTCTGGCTCTGACCCCAGGTGGACACAGAGGTGTGCCAGTGAATCCTGAGCCTCTTCCTCACTATCCCTTGGCCCCATGGCCATTATTGCGCCTTGTGGCCTCCCCATGTGGAGAAGAGGGGACTGCCCTTCCTCTTGCCATGCTGTAGGAGGATGCTCAGCTCTAACTATGCCTGGAAGCAGACCCCACTGATCCTGCGCCTCTCCTGTGAGGCCCAGACATCAGTCCCAGCAGACTCACCCCCATCAACGTAGAGGGACCAGAAGATGACCCGATAGCCTTTGAGGACGCCATTGAGGGTGCTGCGTGGGGGCTCAGACCAAGAGATGACAGCCACGTCAGAAGTGATAGACAGGGCCCGGACGTTCTCGGGGGGCTGGCTGGGCACTGCAGGGGTGGGGGGAGAACCAAGGGTCCAGTCAGTCTTGGGTGTGAATGGCAGCATGGCATATGTGTCCCAGGCCAGGCCCTGCAGTCCAACCAGAGGAGTGTCCAGTTAGACGAGTGGAGGGACTTCCTGCCTTGAGGACCCTGAGGGTTGGGGCAGGGAGGCCGGGAACTGAACCAAGTCTCCTTGCCTGGAGATTGAGGCAGACAGAGATCTTTACAGACTGGTTCCTTGCTCTCTGAGCAGCACATTCCTGCTTCTGGCTAAATCCTGGCGAAGAAGGGATGAACTCTGAGCATGAGTCCCTGGAAATTCCCCAGTGGGCTACCACAGCCCAGGAGGATCCTGCTTTGATGAATGTGATGGACCTGGAAGGCCACCAAGCCAGCCCATCATCTCATCTGATGGCTGCCAACCCCTCTGTGTCATCTGACTGGGGGTCTGGGCGAAGGCCTGGTTCTAGGGACTCCTGTATCCTTGTGCCAAGCTGAAAGGAAGGCAAAGAAGGGAAGATGACCTCAGCTAACCCTGGTGCAGGAGAGAGGCTTCCACTGGGACTTTTGGGACCTCTGGGACCATTAAACCTTCGCCCTTGCCCTTGTACTCCAAAAGGCCTGGAGTGATGGGAAAACACTCTCTGGGGCCAGCTTAGGTGCGCCACCCTCTCCCTCTGAGATCCGCCTTTGAGTTGAAGCTGAGGCCCACCCTCCTGGGTGTGCTGCAGTGCAGCCTGCCCCTTCTGAGGTGACAGGTCACAGGAACCCCACACCCTGGGATCCACCTCAGCTCGGGGGAGCTCTGGTGGCACTTCCTGCTGGAATCCGAGGGCCAGGGACAAAGCACAAGACGAAGTCTGCTTCGCTCCGGCTGGGAGAAAGGAGGCTCAGGCTGGCTGGAAGGTAATTAGATCCTGTTGCCCCACAAGAGGCAACTCTAATTTTTATGAGCATTTAAATGATAATACATCATCCTAACGATCCTCTTTGAGAATGATTATTGTTTCATATTACTTAGGTGTAAAAATATAAGCACCATGTAATTAGGGACCCAGTGTAATAAACTAATACAGATCGTCTGTTCGAACAAAATGAAGGTAATATAATTATGGAAAAGACACTATTGCTAAAGTCGGGGCCCTTGAATACCCCAGGAGGAGTGCTAATATTGCCAGGAAACGATCAGGATCTGACAGGCTAACGAGGGCCTTAATTAAGTATGAAAAACTGCTGAGCAAATGCTGCTGGAAACTTTCTTCTCCCCTCTCCTTTGTTTTGAAAATGACTCCATAGCCCATGCTGATCTCTCCCTGTTGGAAATTCCAGGGGCTCCCCACGAGGCAAGGGAGGGAGGTGGTATTTTGACAGAGGCCAGAGGTGGGCCTGGCTTGCCTCTGCCCATGGCCCGGGGGGTGCATGGTAGCTTAGTGTGAGGAGGGGCAGGCTGGCCTCCTCTTGGCTAGGCTGGGGACAGCTCTTCCCTGGACACGCCTTCCTAATGCCTCCTGCACCTGCCTCACTTGTTCCTGCATCCAGTATTGCTTCCAAGGAAAAGGGAGGCACAAGGTGAAGCTGGAAGGGTATGGGATTCAGGGATTTTGATCCAGACTCTGTTATTTTCTGGATAGTTGGTTCTGGATGGGTTAACCTTCCTGAGCCTTGGCCTCCCTTCATGGATAATGGTGCAACTCTTGGTGCTATGATTCCCAAAGGTGCTCCCTGGACAAGCAGCATTACCTGGGAACTTATTAGAAATAATACCTCCTTTATTTATTTATTTATTTATTTATTTATTTATTTATTTATTTTTAAGAGATGGGGTCTTGCTGTATTGCCCAGGCTGGACTCCTGGCTTAGAAATGAACATTCTTGGCCCTCATCTCAGGCCTGCTGAAGCAGCAGCGGGGGGTTGGAGCCCAGCAGCCTGTGTTTCCCAGACCCCCAGGAGGTTCTGCTTTGTCCTCAGGGCTGAGAACCACGTGTTAGGGCACTGTTCAAATGAACATTCCTGGCACTAAGAGGAGACAAGCTGATCTTCCTCAATCCAGCCAGGCCCGAGGCCAGCATCGCACGGTGGGAGGTGTGGAGAGGGGTAGCGGGGTCCGTGGTCTGAGGGCTTGGTTGTGGTGCGGCTCTCCTTCTCTGCCATGTGCCTCTCTCCTTCTTTCGGTTCTCCCCTTTCTCAGGTGCTCGGTGCTCTGGGGCTGTTGAAGTTGGACCCATCTGAAAGCCTAGCTTTTGCCCCACAATCATGAAATGAGAATCTCTGGGGTTGGAGCCTGGCATCAGTAATTTGAAAGTTCCCCAGATAATGCCAACTGGTAGCCAACGTTAGGAACCATTGGTAGGAGTGAATCTACTCTCAGGTGTTTCTGATCTAATGTGTCCCTGTCCCCAGGGTGCTGCATTTTCAGAGACGACGAGGGAGGGGGAGGGCATTGCTTGCTCTGAAGGAATGGCTCTCGAATGGTGAAATGCTTGGTCTCCTGATGGGAATGAGGCACTGACATTCTGCTCTGTGAACTATTGGGGCGGGGTGGGCAGGCTCAGACTCAGGGGCTTTAGTCTCAGACCCTAGTTTTGGGTTGGGGCATCAAGAAGGAAGCTTGAGAGAATGCTCTGCTTCTTCTTTATTCTGCTCTTTAGGGGTCAGAGGTCATCCTGGTCCTTTCTCTGAGAGCATCAGGGGCCATGTCCTTTCTCTCAACCTCACGCAGGCTCAGGTACCAGCTGGCGTCTTTTCTGTGCTGGGAGAGCCAGCATGTTCCTGCTTCCTCCTAACCCTCTCCTCCTGGGGAGACTGGGCCCTTTGATTACTAATCAGAGTGTGGGGTTCTCTCCAGTCATGGAAGAATGAAGACTTAAAAAACTGGGCTCTAAATCCTCTGCCGCATGCGCGTTAGGATTTCTTAACTCCTCAGCCTCATCTCAGCTCTTAAAACAGATGGTGGGCAGGTTCCAGACTAGAACACAAAAGCAATTGGCTCCTGCCCTCTGCCCAAGAAGTTGTAAAGGAGGAGAAATAAGACACAGGGGTAGAGACAAGAGAGAGGGGTTAGGGTGCCAGGAAGAAGGAGGAAGGCAGAGGGAGAAGTACGGATGGGGAGACAGGTGGACCGACAAGTGCTCAGACAGGCCAACAGAGCATCGGCCAAAAGGATGGAGAGACCTGGTATGCTGCGTGGACCATGTATCCTTCGAGGAGCCAATGGACACAAGGAGATGGTGGGGATGCAGGGAACCTGTGTGGACCACAGGACCAAGATGGAGCCCAGGGGAAAGCGGAGGGACCCACAAGCCCTCTCTGGCAACCCTGGCTCTGCCCTTGGGATCTGTGCCCACTCCCTTCTGCTGGGGCCCTCACCATCCTCCAGAGTGGTGGCATTGATCTCGCTGGATGAGGGCCCCGTGCCAGCCCGATTGAAGGCCTGGACCACCACACCATACTGGGCGAACTTCTTGAGGTTGTCCAGGGTGTAGACCTCGCTGTCCCCCGTGGCCTTCATCTCCACGATGCTGTACTGCCCGTTGCTGCCGGGGCTGTTCTCTCTGTAGCCGATCTGGTAGCCCCGGATGACGCCATTCTGCAGCTCCTTCTTGGGTGCCTGTGAGCATGGGGAAGGGGCAGGGACAAAGACACAGCGACACTCTGAGGTGATGCTTAAAACCAAAGTCAGATCATGTCACACCTCTGCCCCCAGCCCTTAGAAGGCTCCAGTCTCATTCAGAGTGAAAGTCAAAGTCCTTACAATTGCTACACAGCCCTGTGTGACCTGACCTCCCGTTACTTCTCGGATCCTCTCCTATGCCCCTCACTTCCTGCCCCCCCAGCACTCTGGGCTCTTTAACCACATCCTCATCTCAGGGGAAACGCTCCTCTGAAAGTGCACACCCTCCCTTCTGCCGTGTCCTTGCAAAAATACCCCTTCTGAATGCGGCCTTCCTTAGCTCCTTATGTATACTGCTCCCTGCCTCTCTCCGGCACTCCTAAGTTTTCTTCCCGGTTTATTTTCCTCCACAGCACTTAGCATCATCTGACAGTCTATAAATTTCACTTATGCATTTGCCTGTCTGCCTGCATTAGAACGGAAGCACCGTGAGGACGCGGAGGAAGGAGCCTGCTTTGTTACTGTCGCACTGTCCGTGTCTAGAATGGTGCCTGGCACACGATGGGCCCTCAATACATATTGAACAAATGAATGAATGAATGAATGAATAGGGATATCATTTGGCCTGGGTTCAGGGACCTAGGAAAAATGGAATAGCAGACAAAAAGTAATCAGATGGAGAGGGAGGTGAGCAATTAGTTTGAATAAAGAGAAAGAGCCCCAAGATACCACTTCGCATCCATTAGGATGGCTTTTATAACAATAATGGAAAGTAAGTGGTAGTGAGGATGGAGACATGGGAACCTTGTACATTGTTGGTGGGAATGGAAAGAGGTGCAGCTACCGTGGAAAAGAGTTTGGCAGTTCCTCAAAAGGCTAAACATAGCATTACCATACCATCCAGCAATTCCATTCCTAGGGTTTATGCCCAAAATAATTGAAAACAGGGATTCACAGAGATACTCGTACACCCATGTTCATAGCAGCATTATTCAGAATAGCCAGAAGGCGGAAGCAACTCAAGTGTCCACCAGGAGATGAGTGGAGAAGCAGAATGCAATATAGAAATACAATGGAATAGTATGCAGCCATGAAAGGGAGAAAACTCTGACATCCGTCACAACATGGAGGAACCTTGATTGAGAATTAGGCCAGACACAAAAGGACAAGAACTATTGTCTGAGTCCACTTATGAGGTACCTAGATTAGTCAAAATCAGAGAGAAGAAAATAGAGGGGCCGGGTGTGGTGGCTCATACCTGCAATCCCAGCAGTTTGGCAGGCTGAGGTGGGTGGATCACTTGAGGTCAGGAGTTTGAGACCAGCCTGGCCAACATGGAGAAACACTGTCTCTACCAAAAATACAAAAAATTAGCTGGGTATGGTGGCACATGCCTGTAGTTCCAGCTACTCAGGAGGCTGAGGCAGGAGAATTGCTTGAACTTTGGAGGCGGAGGTTGCAGTGAGCCGAGACAGATAGAGCGAGACTCTGTCTCAAAAAAAAAATGTGTTTTTTGAATAGAGCTCTCATGGGGAGTTCATGTTCCAACGGGTGCAGAATTTCAGTGGGAGAGGATGAAAAGGCTCTGGAGGTGGCTAGTGGTGATGGTGGCACCTCGTTGTGAATGTGCTTATTGCTATTGAGCTGCACACTAGAACATGGTTAAAATGGTTAATTTTAAGTTATATGTATTTCATTAAAACTAAAAAAAAAAAAAAAAAAAAA